AGGCGTGAGACAGGATATTTACTCGCTTAGTCATTCAAACATCAAGGAGTACATAAAATCGGCACTTGGACCATTCCCTTCAACTCTTGCTTTCCTTGAGCAACAAGGTTGCTGGACAAGGCTAAAACGTCCTTACTAGTTCTGCCGAGGTCTCTATAGAGTTGACAGATTTTCAAGCCCCGCAAGAGGTGTTTTCAGAAGGCAACAAGCGCAGTAAACCTTCACTGAAGTACCGTGATATCCACGTTAGTAGAGCGATGCGTGTGTAGTCATACCTTCACGATTTCTAAAGGCTAGGTAGTTGTCTTCTTGGGAGACGTCGAAGCGATGAGTGCTGGAGTGGATTCACCACAGATTTTGACGGTGATTATATTTCGTGTCAATAGTAAAACGGGCAGATCCATCTTGGACTGGTTATATCTTAGCAGTAGTAGATTGGTCAATTCTGACCTCCCTCGTAATCCATGTCAACCGATCGGAAGTGGATGAGTCACTGATAGACAGGTACTGAATGCATGGAAACGCGTGGGATGTTATATGAACACATAAGAAATGCGAAACATGAAGTGTGTCGCTTTATCCACTTCAGGTAAGCTTCTGAAGGCCCTTCAGTTTCAATTACGCAACGAAACCTAACCCCCGCGTCCCGTGTTTGCGGGGTTCAATCAATCTGCGTTTGAAAAAGAAACCGGTTCAAATGTTTTTTTTGTTAAAAACTTGCATCTTGTGAATGTACTGTTGTTTATGACCTGGATTGACTTTGTTGCGGCATTAAAAAAATATCTCTGAACGTAGACCACTGCAAATGCCGCTTGACTGGTTGGATTTAAATAACGCGGCGTTTTAAATATTACATGAACCACACCAAAAATGGCGATATGTTAATGTAAGCATTCAAATATGCAGTTCAGCACCAAACAGTAGTGGTCTTTGTCAGTGCTTCCATCTATTGAATCCAAATGGCAGATGGTTTTTGGTCTCATCAAGCCAATCACGCCGCGTCATTTCTTGTCCTTGGGAGAGATGTGCTCACGTGACCCATGTATGTTACTCATATTCCAGTACACGACGATTAACCTTCAGGTTCGGCCTATGGCGTTTACTTAAACACGGTTGCTCACGCGTTATCAACGAAGGCAACTGTTTACGGCCATGACACCATATGTGGGTGCATAAATCGTGCTTGTTTAGGCCATTCAATTGGTTGTCGAGTGTCACGAGTCCAAAACGCTCCTTAAATTATACGCTGAATTTCATAAGGGTTCACAGCCACGTTGTGAAATTGCTTAATCCCGAACACGATTTGCGGCAGTTTGTCTAGGAAGGGTGGCTTGTGGTCCAAGCACTACCTTACAACCCTCTAGTTAACTGCATTGAAGAGAGGCGACAGAGTACAAGACTGTTTGGCTAGCGACAAGACAGACAAATGTGTGTTTTAGTGTGTAGACGAGTGAACTGATGACAGGCATCTGATAACAGTAGCCAATGAAAAGGGGAATGAGTCATTTTCACCGTCAGGTCAGTAAACAGGGTTCCCTCGGGTGCGATCGATGTTAATTCGCTACGAGGATATCAATACAACTCCCTTTTACACTAACGCAGGCTGCTTTTTCGATAGAAAATCATTCACGCCAGAGTGGGAGGCATGAACATCACCAGATGAACACACTTAACCCCGGGTCAGGTCACACGTCATTTTTTTGATTATCGCAACTGAAAACCGCTAAATATTCCGCAGTTCGCCCGAACACACTTCTTGGGACGGCGAACCATCACGGCAACATGTTCGTAGCCGATTCAAATTGTTCTACCACCTTCAAAATGCCGAAAAGTCGGGGAACAATGAAGGTGTAGCAATTTTTATTAGTGAATCTGGTAATACCTCAAATAAATCTCGAGTATTATGCGGAAACACGAGTATCGCATTACACTTCGTAAAAATCTTAAGCACCATTTTCGCACGCGTGCTTTACAATATCCTCTTTCATATTTTTGTGATTAAGTAAGAAATTGTTCGTCTGTATAATCAACCCACGATGAAAATCCACTTTTAAAAGTGCTTAAAAGGTCCACTTGATGGAAGTGGAAAACGGAGACATTTATTTTAGAAATGAGAATTGGTCAGTTTTCACTTGCATACGTCCAGTCGACCCGGTGATTGTAAAAGTTCACGACGTTTACTTTGACGGTGGGTCAGTTAACAGGTGTTTCTGTTGATCTCAAAGTGGCTATCTGAATCCATAATTTGATTTATAGCAGAGACGCACGCCTTCTACTGAGGGGATTACTTATAGAAAAAACCGCAACTCAAATGCACTTCTCGTATGTCCATCGAAACTGCATCTAGTTTCCACAGCTACTTTTTTCCTCTCACGTCAATTAATCAAACCTTCCATTGGTCACTTCATGACTGGAGGCATTTACCGTATTTCCTTGATTTTGTCCTTCGAATTTTTATTCTTTTCTGCAAATAGCCACGAATGTTGTCCACGTTGTTTTCACGGATAAAGAATTCACAGTCTTGGGTAACTTTGGGAAACAGTTAAAGTACATGATGGAGAGCGCGTTATTAGGTTAAAAAAGACAAAGTTCTATGAAGAATGAAGTGCTTAGTATTGTTTTAAATCTGACACGAGCCTTCGTGAGCACTCAGTAAGTTGGGGTGAGTTGTGGCAACATGTGTCAAGACCACAAACACGTGTGGACTTACGTGGCATGGCTACATTCATCTTCTCCATGACATCGCAGTGATGTTCAGTGCGGCAATCACGTGGTCGTCAATGCAGTTTTGTGCCTGGTGCGGATGGAATGCAGTCGAGTAGTTCATCACGGATAAAGTCTACTTGGCCAGATCATAACAGTGAGGTTAACGCGTCCAACTCACCCACATGAGAATCCAACCAAGACTTGGCAGTTTGGTTAACCGAAATGCGTCAGCTTTCGCGCTGGCAACACTAAGCCACATTTGGATCAACAGACACTCCTAAGCGTGGTGAGTTAATCGGGAATTAATGCAGCACTCGCCGTATTCTCGTGACCTTGCTCCTTCACGCCTTTTGGTAATTCAGCACTCAAGGAATTGAAAAATTCACTGTCGAACAATGAAGACTACCTTGCCTGCAAATGTGTTGCAATTTAAATGGCTCCAAACCGGTCACCCAACAATTTCTATAGATTTTTGATACACACAAGCCGAATTATTGTGCACGTCTTCTGCCCTAACTGCCTGCCCAGTTTAACTCAATGACAGGTGTTGGGTTTATCCATCCCCCCTTACCTAAAACACACTGCATTCCAGAGGTCTATTCGTTGACGAATGGAGCCGATTTAATCAACGCAACGGCCTTGACAATGCCAATAACTTGGTGACAGCAAATGTCTACCGCTTAGCTGCAAGTTATTGATCAAAGTGTCTGGCAGATAAGACGCCAATAGAACACGTACCTTCACCATCTCCCGCTGCCTCATTGGCAAATTTGCTTAGCTCTTAGACAATTCATGTACACCTATGCTAGAAGTCCAAATAAGCTTCAAATTAACGTTAATAAACTTGCGTTGGCCTCTCTAATAACTGAGTACACTTACAACGTGAGTTCGGAGAAGGTGAGCGACAATACAATGCAAAGTCCAAACCATGCAAGTGTGTATTTATCAGTAGTATTCATAAAGTGCCCGAATGTAGGAGCAGGTTTAGAAAGTAGTCAGATTTGGAAGCCAGAGAGTAATATATAGCACTAAATTGTACTAAAATAGAGCAAAACAGCATTGGGAGGAGGCATAGCTGTACGTAGCAGAGTGGGTGAGCAAACCATGCATGCGCGATTGACATCTGCCTAGTTGGGGTGTTGGACAACCCTTTCCGTCTTCGACACGCATCGCGACGAGGCAACGGCCATCATAGCGATGACCATGGAGATGGTTGCAGCAACGACAGAGAGGAAGTAGCCCCACATGGAGGTGCGCATAGCCGTGTAGACGATGACGGCGATGAAGACGAGAGCAGCTCCGAGGTAAATGAAGACAAACCGCGCGGTAATCAGGCCTGACGGCACAACCCTCTTGCACAGCATCACCACGTCGATGACGAAAACAAGGAAGACGAAGACGAGACCGATTACAAGCATCGAGACAACGGAGAGCATAGCATCGCGCTGTGGAGCTCCCTCATCTGTACAGCCCTCAAATAGGTTTCCACATTCCCAGTCACGCAGACACAGCGCCACGATGAGCGCAACTACGCAAATAGCCAGAAGGAAAGCAGTCAACTTGCGGATAATCATCGCGATAGAGAATTGGCAGCACAGCAGTCGGTTCGAGTTAATATAGTGCACGCTCGTGTGCGTTTGCAGCAAGCTGATTGGCCGCTGGTGGCCGACCAATCGTTTCTAGCCTGTGGCAATCCTGTTTCGATTGGCTAACGACGTGCCTCGTTTAAATTAACCATGGTTATCGGGGAAAAAATGTCCATAGCGGCAGTCATTCACGGTTCAGCAAAAAAGCCATTATCATAAACATCAACTAGCAAAGTACTTTTAACGTTTGTTCGTAAAATTCTCGAAATTTATTTGAACGAAGTGCGCATGCTGCGGGATTTTTGGGTGATGCACCAACTTCAGTGGACTGATATCAGAATAATTAGAGATTAAGACCTCGACAGCCGACGGGAGTATCCGATTTTTCATGAATTCTGCCTGACTCCAAATATTCGTTTCGAAATCTGGCTAACTTAGGCCATTGAAACCCATCACGGTGATAGGCTGATTGTGACGCATTAGCACGCTATCCAGGTTAATACAAGCCGACAAATTTAAACAAGCTAAATAACTTGTTTAGGGTGTAGTCGAACCGCTAATAGATCTGACACTTTGTGTAACTCGATGAACCGCCGGCACATTATGGGCAAAGAACACGTTTTCGGCTGCTCACAAGACACAGGAGCATCAAAAGTTCACGTTACAGGCGTCGCGTGGGATTCTACAGTAGCCAATTCATTTGTCTTCGTTGAATTAAACTGCCAAATGCAAAATTTTTTCGCTATTGTCTCCAAGTATGGTTCCACGTGCGTTAAATGTAGTTTGAGGCACACGTTAGCACCATAAAGCGACAGTAAGGTAACAGCAACTGTTAGGCTTTGTAATGCTCGTCAAAAGATAATTCATTCAGCCTGTTATCCTTGTTACCCATCCGTCACCAATCACTGAATTCGGGATATTACTAAACCGTGAACATCTAGAGTCAAATACCATGCAGAAATTAGGAATTTTAAATAAGATTTTCGTGAAATCTAATCATTTGCTGTCTTCTCAAGGTAAAATGCAATCCTTTTCATAATACATTGGTCCAGGAAACTTTAATTTCCCACTTCCCACCTCGGGCCATCGATTGTTTACTTTGCTTTCTGCCTGGGTTGAACGAACAGGAACGGGAACAGTTTTGTGTTTACTTAAGTTCAATCAGTTATTTTTTAAAAAAAAGGGAAGAAACTTAGCAAGACATGATTGCATAACCATGGCAGTTGGACGATTTCCTTAGATTCGGCATACTTTCTCACGTACTTTTGCTAGATTTAGCGGTGAGAGTTACAGTGTTAGGTGGCTGGATTTCCTGTTATTCACTGTATCTGTGAGTTTATTAAAAGAAGTGATCTGCTTTGGCTTGTACCTCATCTTTACTCCATTTTTCAAAAAGATCTCTAAATCAATAAACTGAAAGGTAAAATACAAAAGTACAATTCTCATTTACCAATATCACATTTCTGACCTTAATTTTCGTTAAAGCACATTTCAGTTTGCAGATAGGATTATCCATTAGAGTTCAGATTCGCTAGTGCTTGCTTTCGGTAAAACGTAAGGCACTACCGAATCAGGATTTCCTTTTGGTAACTGGCAATTCATTTTTCGCAAAATGTACTTTTCTTTAAAATCTAATGAAACAGTGAAAAATCAGCTGGATGGAGCATGTGGCGTAATGGTTTATTAATTACAAAAATGGTGCGTTTTTTTCTAGTAGAAGAGTGGACATCTCTAGAAGGCAGTAATTTGTGACGTATGTAGATATCGTCTTTCACTAAAACGTGCTGTGAAATCCATCGATAAAATCTACACCTGAAATGTCTAATTAAACACCAACTACCGAATGACATACGAGAAATTTATTCTATCTTTTGTAGACTTTGTTTGGCATTCTCTTGAGGAAACCAACTCTAAACCACATCAGAACTTGTTGAGCATATTAATCAAGTCAACGAATTTTGTCGCCACGACTACCAAAACACACTACTTCCAAATGTTTACTGAATGATTTAAGCTTGGTTAATATTCCTCAATAACTGATTTTCCACAACTACCAAAGGTAATCGATTTCTGCTTTGATTGACCACTAAACCCCTTCGCATACTTGATCTGGCCTTGAAGTGACCAATAAAAAACCATTATTTGAAAGTTAATTTTCATTAATTTGCAAAAATACCAGAAATTGCGCACTTTAAGGACCCCGGTGTTGGAGGTAAATGACAGAAAAAAGTCTCGGTAAATGCACGTAAACGCACCGAACGAATTTTTGAAAAAAACGAGGACCTGCTAGTGAACTTGTTTTGTGGTAATTTCCTACATTGTGTGCAAGTAGGCCTCTGGCGCCGATCGAAGTTCACCACAATTGTCATTACGAAGAGCCATCTTGTAGCCTGGAATGAGGACAGTCATAAAGCTCGTCTCCTCCAGCGTAATCTTGGAATACTGGCGACAGTAGCCGTAGAATAAATAATTGTTATTTTTTTTTAACCTACTGGCCGAATCTAACTTCTTGCACAAATAAATGAAGCAGGTGAATCGTAGGTGATTACATTTATTCGAACTCCGATCACCAGGAGGCCAATTGGCCAGTGCAAGAACCTGCGGAATTAGAACCTGATCGTTCGGAATGGCGTCGGAAAAGGCCGAGAAAACGGGATTTTGGTAATAAGAGCCCTCGTGGGGGGTTTTATGCGATCTGTTTCACCCCCAACGGAGAGGGCGCCTGGGCACTTAACACGTAACCGTTTTCCCGGTCGCCTTGGGGTCAGGAGTCGGGGTAGTAACCAAATCCTGACCGCAAACCCGTGATTACACGCGACCAGCCTGCACTCCGGGCAAACAACTTTGTTGGCTTTGTCTGTCACCACAAATTATCATGAATCCCCAGTCGGTTGGGTAGTCTAGAAGGGAATACAGAAGATTGATGAAGATCTTATGACACCACTCCAAAATTTAACAGATTCACGTGACTACTAAGAGGACACTTAGGGTAGATTTGGTCTAAACTGACGCGAAACCATTAGCTGCGCTGTGTGGTACGATCTGGTTAATTGATGCCCCCCACACCTGCCTGCTGTTTACATGCAAACCTTTTAACTGCTCGAGTGTTACCACTCAGTATTTCGATAGTTAGACACATGACAGCACAGTCGCATGATAGTAGCACTCAAAAATTATTTAGGATAAAAGTGTGAATCTGATAAAAATGACATGACATCACACGCGGATCCTAGGAACCGAAGAAGTAAGTTTCTCTCGAGTTCATCCAATCACAATTCAACTAATTATTGACAGTGAAATAACGGTCAAAATGAGCGAATACTTGTTCGGGCTTGTTCAAAGTTAATCGACAGCATGTGAATCTAAAAAAAGCCAAAAAATTTCAAAAATTAAAACAAACCACCCAAGGAAGAGCCTACGCGTTTTATTTACTCTGCTGCCACATGAGCTGTCAAGCTATGCAGATAAAATATCAAATTACCACAGGCAATGCAGGCTAAATTTGGAAGTCCTCATAAACTCACGATGTGATCACGACTACCTCAAAAATAAGCAACATTCATCTACTGTTTGTGGGAATGCCATTGCGTTTTGTGGGTTTGGTTCTCACGGAAGAGTTCTCAAAAGGATTTCGAGAACCAGACTCAGTAATGACGGGAAATAAACACCTTCTCTGAGTACCACCTCGTTTTTGCGCTAATATTTTGGACTAACAGATCCGACTGACTAGGATTAACTGGTGCTTATAACTTTGCCTAATTTGCTTTACGAATAACCAATAAAAAGTGTCACTTCGAGTAAACCGATCCCGCTGCAGAGACACAGCAAGACTGGAGCCGTTTAACTCGAGATATTATTGACCGCTAGCACAAAATGCACACACACACAAACGCTCATCTAGTGTTCTGGGTCTTCAGCATATAGACCAAGCCTGGTTTTGAATTCTGCCTGATATGTAAATGCGTTTGGTCGCCTAGGCGTCAGGTTGGCAACATTTGACAGAAATATGTGCGTCTAGTGTGCACCATAATAAGCATTTCTCTAGCGAGACTATCACGTAGCATTTCGGGTTATCTCAAGTACTTAAAATTAAATTAGAGTCCTCTTTGAAAAAAGAGGAAAAACAATTGCCCTTACCATAGTAAAAGGCTTTAGCGACATGACATTCATTGTAAATAGTTGTAGAAATCAATATACAAGAGTGATACCATCAATGGGGCAGTTTCCGATTTAAATTTTCAATGCTAAAATTTTGCTAAATGAAATACCACTTTGAAAAGTAAATGGGAATAAGAAAAGAGATGAATGGGCTTTTAATTCGTATAAAATATCAAGTATGTCAGTAATTAATGCATCAACCACTGGTGAAGGTAAAAAAAATCGCATCATGAAAAATTTGAGCAAAACAGTTTTCTTTTCCTTGCATTCTATTCTGTATTTCACAAAAGTGTGTAAGCACAAAATCTACCTACAGTTGTTGTAAATCTCAGATGCTTTAAACTGCGTCGTGGTAGACAAGAAAACAGAATGCCAAAAAACGATGACCAAGTAAAATCCTATAAAATTTGTTCTGAAAGCAGCCAAAAAGTCGAAGAAATAAAAAAAAGTTGTGAAATTGCGCAAAATATTAAAATATCTTGGTATTGGGGTAAACAACTAGCTGAAAACGCATTTTTGCCCCTAAGAATTAAGCACACTAATATTGTTAATTGGATCTTCATTTATATGCAAACAGTTAACAGAGCCGGAAACACTAAACCTAGTGCTCAAAAAAACTAAGCAATCAATTATTGCCAAAGTGAATTTATTTTATATCTAGGTGTTTTTTTATGATAAATTAGCAAAGCAGTTAAATTATCCGGAAAAAAAAACAAATTTTTGGAAGCCAAAGACAAGGTAAAATTTAGGTCTGTTTGTAAAATTTATTATCTGATTTAGCTCAAAATTACTTAAAAAGTATCTAGGAGTCTTTAAAGGCAATCTGTTTTTAACATAGAATGTAAATTTCTAATTTTAAGAAATTAAACCTAATTTGCGGTTGTGCGATCTAGATTATGAAATAATAGGATATCAGCTATCATCGACAGATCGCACTTCACCTGAGCGAACAAATCTGATCTTACTCTGTTTACGCGAATATATATTTCATGTGGCCATCAATGCTAAGCAGTCCTACACGAAATTGTGCCCTCTTCCCAAAAAAACAACACTTATTTTTGCGACTTAAGAAATGGAGTCTTTCGTTTTTATCCCTATTCATGCTCCATTGTACTTCAACAAAATAATCCTGACTCCTAATCAAAAACGATTTGCAAAAAAACAATATTTAAATAATAAAGGATATTTTATTTGAACTAAATTAATTGTGAAATATAATTTGTTACCGTACTTTTTTATATTACATTGTTTGTGTTTGCTGACAACAATTTTTGTTTATCGCAATTATCTTTACTACCGCTGTTTACGAGGCTGCTCTTAGTACTCGTACGAGTGGCCTCTGATCAGCTGGTGGGTTTCGTTTTATTCCTGCCGTTCATGTCATGTCTTGTTATACGATTTATGCTTTTGAATAGACACTTTGCGCCTTCTTTTGCGCTTCTTCGACAATGCCTCCACTAACAAATACATCATAGCAGGGCAGTTATAAAGAACTATGCTAGGACCAATTAGGAAGACTTGTATGATTCGTGAATTTAAAAAAAAATAGCCTGTGGCGTGTTTTTTGAAAGTTTGATTCATAAATTCAAAGTGCGCTGGTAGTAGCTTCGAATGACGGCCGTACAATTATTTGCTCTAGAACTAACGAGATTGTATTACCTGATTTGTGTTATGAACTGTTATTCGCTATTAACACAAATGTTGTAAATTTTCCTAGAGTGTACCATTTTGGACTCTCTCCTAAATGGGTGACCAATCTTTGTTTCCAGTCTATACTCCCACCCCGATACGACTGTTGAATGGAACTCAGCGGCGAAAAAAGGCGTCAAGATCCCCTGAAATAGCGTACACCCCGACTCCCATAAATGAGCTTTACCGTTACGCACCTGACAGCTTCCAGGGGATGTACTCCCCGGCTCCCTCATCTTGGGCTTCGTCAGAGGTTCCAGCCTATTCCCCGGTAGTCCCCACGCAAACTCCTGTTACCCCAAACCAAGGCTACGATTTCTCCCTCCCTTCTATTTCATATCTACCTCCATTAGTGGAAGAGAAAGACGTATTCGCAAAGCCTGCGTCCCCGTTGAAAACAAAAAAGCCAAGTACAAATATCGAGGATGCGGATAATTGCCCGGACTCTGAGGAAAAACGCAAGAAGATTCTTTCGCTTTACTCCGACTTGTATGAAAATGCAGAAGCGGCTCCATCGAAACCTACAAAAATCACAATTTCTGCCCCCCGCCGCACAACTCTACCAATCCCTACACCGGTAGGTATTCTCACTTTTTGTAGCACTTCTCATCTTGAGTTGTCTCACCTCTGTACTTGTTTCAGCCACCCAAAGACGCAGAACAAAGCTCGCCCAATGAACCGAAAAACTTGCCTCAAAGTCGGCCCAAACAACCCCTCCGACCCAGCGGCAAAATCCCCATGCCCATACGCATTCGTTACCTTGATCAGTTTGTTGAAGCATGCATTCGGATATCCCCGTCTAATCCAGAGGCTTACAGTTTGGTTAGTATTTTTTTGTTTGTTTTGGAAACGCATCCTTTGAAAACACTCGTTGGAGAATCTGATTTTTGCCATTTAGTGCAAGTTTAATGACACTTCAAAAGTAATTGAATCACTTCTAATTCGCCTACTTTCGTGAATTACGAATTTTTCTTCCACAGGCTCTGAAAGAGGAACAAGCTTGTCATGACAGAGCCCAAAATCGTCTTGCCTACCTAAACTCTGTGATAAATACCCTGAAAATGCTCAAATCCCAGCCAGCCTATGTTGCTAAACCGGCTCCATCGTCTGCGACTGCATCAGACGAAGGTGGTAGCGAACCGCAGTCGGCTCAAACGTCTTCCGAAGAAGATCTAGACGAACTCGTTAGAGGTGAGAGTTGCTCCATAATTAGTGGGTAAATAGGGAAGGGGTGGTTTCACTTTTTACGTCTAATCCCCTGTCGTCTCCCCACCTCCCAGGTCCATCGTTCTATCACGCGTTGGAGGCGTTCTTGCTAAGCGAGGAAGAACTCGTGTCCAATGGATTCCCTCGACTCGACACCAGTGAAAACGCCCCGCGCGGTAAAGCTGTTATTCGAGTACCCGACAATAAAAAAGCCAGTGTAGAAGCCTACACAGGTAAGCACACGTCTGCGATTCCTCAATTACTTAGTCTTGCTGTCATGTGCTTGGTGTGTGTGTTTTCTAGTAACTAGATTCGGGTAGCCTAACGCGGCTGTTTTTGTGTTTCAGCCAATAAACGCGTCTGCTGTCGGTGTGGTCAGGTGTACGAAGTTAACAAGTTTGGCGAGGTCACGGTCAAAAGAGAGTGTGTTTATCACTGGGGCAAGCCTGTGGGAAGAAGAGGTGTGGCATTATCAAATCATGTCCCTTCTTGCACTGCCCTGTTCTGTGCCCTAAGCGAATCCCATGCTTCTTTGTAGTTCCCGGATCGGGCTTCGATTTGCGCTACACCTGCTGTCAGGCAGAGAGTGGTGCTGAAGGCTGTGAGGTTGCCAGCGCGGGCCACGTGCACAGTGCTAACAAGTGGTGCGACCTTGAGGGCTACATCTCCTCCCTGCCACCTGCGATCCCACCCTCCACCACCTCCCCAGGCGACAGACCGGTGAATGTGTACGCCGTCGACTGCGAGATGGTCTACACAACTGGAGGGTGAGCTGTGGATGCCTCTTTTTGGGGGCATTTGTTGGGAATCGATGCGATTCACACGCGTTGCCTCCGGTCGCTCCTTCCACCGACACCGTGTCCCCCTTTTCACGGCACACTGTCTCACACCTCTCTTAATAACACTCACCTAGATCCCGATTTTCGCACATTTGTGGCTCACACCCGACACCACGACACATTCCCACAGCTTCCACACCCACCGCTTTGTGCTGTTTACTCAGTGGACATAATCATGTGCGTTTTTCCTGTTGCAGGTGTGAGTTAGGTCGCGTTACTGTGGTTGACACCAATTTGAATGTCGTGCTGGACAAGATTGTGCGTCCCCTGAACCCAATCGTCGACGCCAACACACGTTTCTCCGGTCTGACTCTCGACCAACTCGCCGCGTCCACCACCCAGATCATGGATGTGCAGATGGAGTTGTTGCATTTGTGGGACGAGGACACCATCTTAATCGGACACAGCTTAGAAAGCGATCTCATGGCTCTGAAGGTACACGCATCCATTTCTCTCAAAATACCGACTTTGTAGTGTCTGAAAATCGATTTGATCAGGCCGAGAGGTTTTTGATGCATCATCTCTGTCTCCCTCATTTTAGTTTATCCACAGCAAAGTCGTTGACACGTCGGTGGTTTTCCCGCACAGAAGAGGACCGCCCTACAAACGAGCTCTGAAGACAATTGTCGGCGACTATCTGGATCTCCTCATCCAAGACGATGGTGAGTGGTTCGTTCTTTCAAGGACCTTAGACGCCTTCCAGACGTGTCACCTCGTGACTCTTCGTTCTCCTTGTAGAAGCCGGTCACGACAGCAAAGAGGACGCCATCGCCTGCATGCTGGTCATGCAGAAGAAAGTGAAGGCGCATCTTCAGAGGAAGAAGATTCGCAAAATTCAATAAACAGAACCCCCTACCCCCTCCCCCCACTCTCTCTCTCTCAGCCCGCGATAACTGATACTCGGCCTGTATATGACCCTTCTGAAGTCGTCTTTTTTCTGTGCTCTGCCGGTGAATAGCAAGCAATGTAGTCCTGCTTTTGATCACGTGGTCTCTCAGTAACTCGTTTGATTTAGGCGGTGGGTATGAATCTACCAATCAGGAGAGTGGGAGGAGGTAAAGGCTTGCAGTGATTGGCTCTCGTCATTTGAACATACAGCTTTGGGAGAAATGTTGAAGTTAACTGCCTAATTTTTGTTTGTCGACACGTTGGCTGTTAGGCAGTGTGCTCTACCGGTGAATGCTGCTTTGTTTAGTCGAATAGGAAGCAATGTAGTTCTGCTATCGATCATGTGACTGGTGTGGTTTAGGCGGTGAGCATGATTCCACCAATCAAGAGAGAGGGTAGAAGTGATTGGTTCTCATCACTTGTTCTTCTCATATTTGGGTGGTGTACATACAGAGTGGGGAGAAGTGTTTAAGTTAAATGCCTAATTTTTGCTTATAGACAGGTTGGCTGTTAGGGAATGTGCGTGATCGTAGACGGGGTTAATGCTCGAATGACGCAAAGTACTCCAGAAGCGCTGTGTAGCAGAAGGCGTATTGACTCTCATTTTCGATCATTTGACTCCGCTGCCCTCGCAGGAGTCGAACAGTGAGAAGGAGATCAACCATGCCCTCGCATCGCATCCGTTCTAGCAGAATGCTCAACGCGATGAAAATGCCCGTGCGACCTGCGCCGGCACTACAAAACCGAAGCATTCATATAAGAAATGGCTACTAAATTAATGTGAGTAGAAAGTTTAATTTAAGTAACGCACTTGCAATGCACGGTGATTGGGCCATCCTGGCCAAATTGAGCCTGTGTCTTGTGAACCTGGGAGACCAATTCAATGAGAGTTTCAGCCGCTCGCGAAATGGCAACCCCGTTGTCGGGCCAATTAGAGAACTGGAACTGCCGCACCGTCCGCGACTGGCCATCCTGGGTGTCCGTAAGACGGAACTCGCGCAGAACAAAACTCGGCATGTTGTACTCGACCATGGGTTCAAGGAGGAATTGCTGGTAGCGTTGGGAACGCTCACACGCCCAGTACTGGAAGCACTGTTCCCTCCCGTTCTCCGTCGTTTCACTCAGCATCACGATGATAGGAGAGTTATGCTCCCAAATCATGCGCCAAAAGTCGTTAGTTGTGCTGGCTAGCGGCGCTTGTGTGGCAATGTAGGCTTTCTCGTGCCAGTAGCCGTCAATGAAGCTGGCATTTATGTAATCTGCGCCTTCAACACCGCGAATCGTGGAAAGGATCACTCGGTTGCTCTCGTAGGGCAGGACGTAATCAACGCGGTTCTTGTTACGGTTCTCTGGCAGAAGGGCACTTGTGCACTGGCCAGAAACTTGCAGATTTATCGACACACGCTGTAAATTGCAAAAGAGTATTTGATTTGAATCTAAATGAGTACTGAAATGAAAATAGTAGTCGGTTTGTCTCCTCAAAATAGTTTCATAAAGGACCCAGCTTCAGACCACTCGAAATATTAGAATGTTTTAGAAAACCAGCATTTATGAGTCTTCGCTGCATTAAAAATGCTTTAATTCGGTTATTTTATTTGTTCATGAGCACCACTTCTGTCAATTAAATTGCCCACACCTATTCTATTGGCTGAAATGTTGTCAAGGTCGATCGAAGAAGAAACCAGATTAGACCAAAGGTATCGAATTATGGGCTGATATGATTTTGCTCTTTGTTGGACATTTTTGTAAGCTAAGACTGTTGACACTTCGTTTTTTTACTAAATCTTATCTGACCTCGAGTTGACGTCAACATTGTGACCTTTACTTCACACCTGTCAGAAATCCAAATCACGAAAATTAATAATACTGCTAATATTTTAAAAGAAGAGAGATTTGAAATCGTTCTCCCAATCCCCACACACCACGACATTCCATGAAATTTTGTTTATCTGCACTAATTGCATTTTTCCATCCAATCAGAGGTCTCGCCGCCGTCATCATCAGATTTTACCTGGAATTCGAGTTCCAGGGCTGTTATGTTTGGTTGGAATCCCGTTTTTCCAGCGTCACCGAGGTACATGGTGAGCATTGACGTGGGTGCAGGCTGACGCAGCTTCATGACGTAATTGTAGAGGCTGTGGGCGGTAACTTCGCTGCCAGCTACCTGAGCTGCCTCCACCACAACCTCGTAGAGGAAGGCGTACTGCTGCTCCGTTTGAACCATGAAGTTGCGCTGCGTTCGCATCCGACTCACCGACCCAAAGATGTCCACTGAACTCTCGGCTTTCATTCTCTCCAATTGCGAATCGATGACAATGAAGGCGCCTGCAAATCAAATCAAACAAAAAAGGCCTCAGAGCCAATCACATTTGAGTATTGATCGATTTCAGGACAGCTGCAAACAACCATTCCATCAACCAGCCAATTCAGCCCTTATGCTTTAAACAGACTATCGATTTGAAAATGACGTCATTACTGTATAGTGATTATCGTTACACACCTGGTACATTCATTCATTAAAACAAGCATGTACCAAAAAGTCGACTGTTTCCACATTAAAGTTTATTTAAATTCTAGTTCTACCCCGTTTGTGATTTGAATTAGATTAGCCCAAAAACCATATGGTAGGGAATTGCCGGGCAAAACTAATGAATCGACTTAACATTTCGGTGATTGGCTGGCGAAAGACCCAATCAGGTGACGCGCAAAATTCAAATTTGAATTTAGCGTCATTTACTTGCAACACTGCTCTTTCTCTTTGTTCCGAATATTTTAGAGATTTTTAATAGAATTTGGCATGTCATCTTTAGCCAGGGCAAAAATTCGAAAACTTCGTCGCAAATTATTGGCTGTCACAGCATCAGAATGTGCAGATGGAAGTGTGATTCCACATTTTCGCGCATTTTTTTTTAAATTAAAAAGACAGTTCAATCTTTCGTAGAACTAATTTGGCGTGACACCGCAATTCTCAAACGTCAAATTGTCTACGAAAGTCGAAAGTTCTGTAACAAAAAGAAAAAAAATTAAGCACACAGTCTTCCCTTTTTAGACAGTTAGGGGCCATGAAAATGAAATAGACGCTAAATCTCTCTCCTTAAACCCAAAAATACGTAATGTTTGGAAATTCAATTTTGAGATTTTGGCTCGTTCACTCTTAATCCCACTCTTTTTTAAGCAGAGAAGCAATCTAACCACAACTGCAGTCATTAAAGAATGAAAAACAAGGTAAGTTTGAGAGTTACAGTTGAAAATGTACTCATTGTTGCGCTGGCCACAACACAATATCATCTTTTTTTACTCGAAAACCCAATAATTAATCTTGGCTCAAAAAGCGATTTCGAAAAAAACAAAAATATTAAAAATTTACTAGTGGCCTAGATTGAATGGTAAGTTCAAATTCGCGCGGGCGCTAGTTTTAAGTCGGCGTTCGTGAAAATAATTTGCTCATCGCGTGATTAGAAATTGCGTTTGTTTCCGGGGGAAGCATGGCACAGAAGACCAGAAAAATTTAATAAAAGTGGTCTTATTTCTAAAAAAATATTTGCAACTGTTTAACTGGTGATAATTCCATGATTGGACGAAATGACTGCAGTACAAATTTAATTATTTGTTCGCAATTTGAAATAATGAGTTATTAATGAAGCTCGATGAGGGGCGATGTTATGTAGTGACATTATCCTTTTGATAAAACGGTATTTCTGACCAATTATTCGTAGTTCAAAACAGTTTCACCTGAAAATACATCTTTTTTTATCAATACAATTTATTGTTTTTACCGGTTTGTGCCCAAAATTATCAGCAGAATATTTAGGGAAGAAAAAGGGAACCTAATTGACACATCTAAATTAGCCTTAAATGTTTAATTTACCCGCGATAGATCTCATTTCTCTTGATATTTTCACACGACATCTTCAAAAGTCGATTCTAAAATAAGTCGCCGACACATGCGGAAAAAATATTAATTGTTTCAGATCAATCGCCTTTAAATTATGTGACTGGCATTCTAATCATTGCAATTTTTTCCTCTGGTTAGGTTTGGGGTGATTTGGAGGGTTATTGTGCTCGATCCTTCACTGCTTCTGCTCTCCCCGCATCGGACTCTGTTTGCAACAGTTCTACAAGTCTGATGGAATTCTTGTGTTACCTTTGACTAACCCGTTCCCTCTCAGAACAGTGGAACCACAAACGACTCGACACTCAAACAGTACAACCAATAGGAACGCTTGGAAATAGACGGACGTGTCTGGAATTTACGCGTCTCACTTCAGCTCTATATTCCTGGCGAATATTATCGACACTATTTTCTCCAATGGAAATTGAGTATTTGCACTCCTACCATCGGCTTGTTGAATAATAAGTGAAGAATTGGACAAATCGATATCAGCATATCCGACCAATTGCAAAAGAGATAAGATTGTATGTGAAGTACTGTGTGTGACCTTAGGTCAAGAAAGTTTTTCACTGTGTGTCTTTACATCTGATATGATCAGACATTGAAGAGGTCAATCTCTCTGAAGGGTCAGTTAGGAGAGGAGAGACATGTATGCAGAGGTAACGAGGTCAAACTGAGTCTATTCCCACTTGTTTCATTATTGTGTATTCAACACGTTTGGTGGAATTCTCCTGTCAATAACTGACACATGCCTTAACATATTTTGATTGTTTGACTTAATTTCAAGCCGTAAAAAATATTTTCGAGGTCTATTTTGGTTTTGAAAGAATTAGACACCGAGCGACAAGTCGATGAGAGTACCCCAACCTCTCAGAACAGTATAGTGTACGATGTCAACTTATAAAGACCATACTAGATGTCATTACATTTTCTACAATTACAAACAATTCAAAAATGCACGGAATCGGCTTGAATTGTTCTTGGTGGCAACCTTGTGTGCTAAATTATCGGCACACACATTTTCGAAGTGGTGATCTCGACCTTACTGACCATCATCTTCCCGGACAAACACAACAGGAGCTTGCAGCACAGTCAGGAGTCATCCAAGCAGCTATTTTCAAGCATTTCCACCAAATAAGAACAATTCAACAGCTTCGACTTTGGGCTCCCCAAATGTGGTGACCAAACACACCACAGATCGGGATATCAGCTCACGTTTTTCACAGCTTCTTGTGGAAGGTTTTGACGGGTGATAGAGAGCATATTTTTACGAGAATCGTAAATGTAAATAGTCAGGCAACCCAGTACATCGACACCAAAACAAGACAACCGCTTGTCATGTTTTGTGGAACTACTAAGCCACCACCAACTAACCCGTTCGTCCGACACCCGCAGAGCAGTGGACGATGGTCGGTCCGATTCGACTGCCTCCGTGGGTTGCAAGGGTTGAACTAACGCCAGGCACACCACCATTTTCCTGGCTCCGTTGTGCGTGCTGCTGGTTCAGGATGTTCCGCACCTCACTGACTTGACGCGTGAAGAGAAGTAGGGGCTGAGGGCGTTCTGGCGCGCCACAATCGGGCCACGCCGTGAACTGAAACTGTTTGATCTGCCGTGTCTCCGACACTGGCCGTAGGCCCTCCGCAGGATGGATTCCACGAAGCGTTGGACCACCCTGAGACACAGCCGCAGTGGTTGACTCCAGCGAGCTAGACGACGGAGCCACCTTCTGCAGATTGAAAGTGCGGATTGTGTAGTAGGCGTAATCACTGGCGTTCACCAGGGTCACGGAAAAAGCTGTGTAGTCTGGAGGTGGGTTTGGTGGCTTGAGATCGCCAGGGGGGTAGATAGGAAACACCTCGCTGCCTCTGGTTGGCCAGTACTGGTCGCATTTCAGGCGAGAGCGCTCCTCCAACTTCGTCATCATCACAATCACTCTCGAATTCTGCTCCCACACCATTCGCCAGAAGTCACCAAACGTCTCAGGCAAGGGACCCTAAGATGCACAGACAAAATGCACACAATTTTCAATCCTCCAATCATAACTAACGCAGCCTTAGATACACCAAATTAATTATTGATTGGCCAGCCGCTCACTTTTACTCGGAGTCAACGTCGCGGGCAGAAGATTAGCACTAACACGCAGCTATTGTTATTTTATCGGTTGCCAAGGCAACCAAAGTACAGTTCACCTCGTCTTCACCCACGTAGAGCCTCTTGTGAAAATCATCGGAGCCTTAGATTGGCCTCAACACACAAACTGACGGGCTTTAAGTACTAAGATCGGTGTGTGTTACCTGAGTGGCAATATACGCATTCTGGCGTCTGTAGCCATCCAAGTAATTTGCGTTGATGTAATCGGAGCAAGGTACACCAGGAAGTTGGCTGAGCAAAACTCGGCTGTGGTCGTAGGCGATGACGTTGGCGTATCGATTCTTCGGCTTATTCAACTCCATGTTGGCGTTCTGCCACGTGAAGCCGCCACCGGGTTCGATCGCCTCGTACTCCTTGTAGAGACCGCTGTTGTCGAAGCACTTGAGATTCGCGACGTGCACGGCCAAGTGGTCGAGAGAGATAGGCGATTGGCCGGGCAGGGGTTGGACGAGCGAGGACTGGGTTTGTCTGCGAGCGGGCGTGCTGGAAGCCGAGATGGGATGCTGGAGGGCGCCGTTGTCGAAGAATTTCGACGACCGCAGACTGGGCGAGTTCACGCGAGATCCGGTTGGAATGGGGGAGGCAGCTTGTTGTAAAACAAACGAAAATAGATTTGATTAATCGCATTGCCTCAAATGCCACAGCTTTTCTTTGCATCTACAAAACAGTTGACAATTCAAATCGATGATGGTTTCAATTCAAACAAAACTGTTTCAGCAGTTTCGTCGTCGACGAAAACATTACTTAACATAGGAGCTAGTAATATACAAAGTGGAACAATAACAAAAAAATTAATATCATGGAAATTCTACTGAATCAATCGTTCCTATAGTTGAATCTTCTTAGGTAGCCCTGGCCTTAATCTGGGCAACCATCAATAGCAGCAGAAATCGATAATTGGTACGTAGATAAGGTCAAATTAACGAGGTGCACGAAATTGAACTATGACCCCAATAGGTGAAATCCTGCTTAGTTATTTCCTATGTTTTTTTGTCACATTGCTAATTTTGCTGTTGCTGAACTTTGTGGACATTTTTCTTGAAGAAAATAAAACAACGCCTGAACCGTTACACCAGAGACTCTTCATTAATATTGAAGTTTTCGTGGAGCCGTAACCCAGTTCTCTAGTCCGCCAGTCAGCCAATAAAATAAGAGCATTTTGCAGTTGCATTTTCTTAAAGCCTCCAAAACCCCCTCAACTAACCGTCCCAAGTGAGTGGCCGTTTTCATACCTACCGCTTTGAGAACGGACCAATCACCTGTTCTGTCAAGTACATGTTCTCAAAAATACTTGAAAGGGTAACATCAAATTAATGGAGACTGCTAGCAGTGCTTCAAAAAGGATTTAGGAACGGCCTACTCGGGAGAGAAATCACACACTACCTCGCTTGTTTGTCTGAATATTTCACATTCTAGTTTGGTGCCTTGGGGCCCTCACGTTAAAGGTACCAGATGTAGAATCGTGTCACGAATCCCAGCAATCCACTGTATGACTCACTCGGTCATCACACAAGGTCGAGCATACTCACAAGTCACCGATGTCCAATCTGTGCTGACATGTCCGTGTAACCAATAGCAACAGAGGGGTGTGTCTGGGATTTACGCGTTTCACTTCAGCTCTACATTCCTGGCGCATATTGTCGACACGCTACTTCCTCCAATAGAAATTGATTATTTGCAATTCTAGTATTGGCTTATTGAATTGGGCAAATAGACGTCACCATATCCGACCAATTGAAGAAGAGATAGAACTGTATGTAAAGTACTGCTTGACCTTAGGTCAAAAAAGTTGCACACTGTGTGTCCTTACATGCGATATGATCAGACATGGAAGAGGTCAGTCCCTTGGAAAGGTCAGTTACGAGAGGAGAGACAGGTATCCAGGGTTAACAAGGTCAATGACAAGGCCGTTATCGGCTTCAATGTCTCTTCTCTTTCGTGACTTGGATACTGGGATTTTCCACATTTGCGAGTTTTAGCGACAAATTATCATTTTCAGAAACACCACATGTGCTGGCAGTGAGGATGCACAAAATATTTTATTCGTGTCGCGTGAATTCGTGCGAAATCATTTAGCACGACAAGCCACGTCGTCTGAGGTAGTTGTGTTTCAGAAGCAGCAATGGTATTTCATGCTTTCTTACCTGGAGTAATGGAATTCTGGATGAAATCTAAAAATTTAAACAAAAAAACCGTCATTTTTTACGAAACCCTATTTCAACAAGAATTCCTCCTCAGAACAATGCTACCTGTGCTAGCTAAAACCTCACTTAAAATCAAATGCTGCGGGTGGAATAGAATCGAGTTAACTGGGCAATGTTTCTGGTGTTATGAAATGGGCCAATCATACTGGTGTCGTAGGTGGCGGCAATTACGAATATTTTATTGCGAATCCCAATCTAACGACACCTGTCGCACAAGATAAAAGCATGCTCAGAGATTCCTTAATTTTTGGTCTCTCACATACTACATTAGTTAGGAAATGAGGAAATCTAATTTTCGACCAACTGAAAAGTTAATAAGGGCCAGACCAGAAAATTTAATCAACAAACCCCTTTTTGCGCGGTGATTGAGCTTGGTGTGATGAACGGAGCGCAAAATCCACTTATTTAGGCTTGATTCCAAACTTGATTAAGGAAAGATTTTAAAGAAAATATACGTTTGCAATCTTTCCGATCCTACGCTGGCCCTTAATGTTGTGAATTTTTTGAATTTCTTGTCAACAGAAATTGTGGAATTTTTTTTCAGAATCAAATTTTGTGTTGTTGAAATTATTTGAAAAAAAGGGGTAAATGAACAAGATTTTCCATTTAAACGGTCTCCTAAACGACAAGTGGTTAAGCGTTGTCAAGGTAAAAGATGCTGCTTTTGTGGTTAGCCAAATTCACAAGCTTTGCTTAGATCTAAACAGTAAGCACTTTCGTTGGATGAGGAAATTTCTGCATTTGCCATCGATTCTGCTTCTCTCATCTGTAAATATCGTGCACAAACCTCTGCAACCACCTAATTCGAAAACGATTTGTGTTAAGAATTAGACACCTCGCAATGTTGGTTAATGCAATTTGGCATAATCGCTTAGCGCAACGGTAAGTGGAGCAGTCTACCATAGAAATCGCAGCCGGAAAAACGTCTTTTGTATTACCACCACGCAAAGGTAATCTACCCACGTATAGTGGTGCAGTATTTATGCTCAATAAGCGTAGATAAGAAGTACTGATTTGTAGTGCATTTATTGTGGACGTGAGTATTTAGTCAACTTGGTGCATAGATCCAGGCCAGTTATTAGTTTAACAGAACAATTTGCGTGCGTACAATTGGCTTTTCTTGCCTCAAATTCACACTAAACATACTCACAAATTATAATTCACACCTTACACTCATCAAGACTTTAATTAAATAAATTTTACAATGGATGACTGGAGTTTTTCGGTGTAGTTTTGCAAAAATACAGGTTTGGGCAAACAGACAGCAGCATTACCGTCCAAGGATTTCGTGAATGATAAAACGCAAATTGCACGATCAACGCTGCAAAACGTAGTTGGCGGTGCATATATTTTTGCGACACCTGACAATTAGGACATTTCTGCACAAGCATTCATCAATTTAACGAGCAGAATGCTGAGGGCAGATGTCAGATCGCATCGTCTGGCAGATAAATAGCCTGTCACTACTGTAATACCGATAGGTCCATCAATTCTTGTCTGAAAAAGGTGATCAACAACTGCCGGAGATGTTGCTGTTACTTAATAGATCAGAATTCTCCCTAAGTAGTAATTGCTTCTCTGACAAAACCAAAGAATTAAGCAAGTCGAATGTTTGGTACGCAGTGTATAAACTAACAAACAGTTCCAAGCATAAATGTTTCACCCAAACCTCGTCATTTTGACAAGAAAACGAAGCGCGTTTTGCTTCCAGCATCAAGCTGACGTGCAACGCGGTGACTGCGCTACAAGATTTGATTATTTATTAGGTGACAACTTCTGGAATGAAGTAAGACGGTCAAATTTGTTTCCAGTATCCAGAAGGCACTGCACCCACCTACTGTGCAACTTGAAGCGAACGCTGGAAATTGAGAAAAACGGCAAATTTACCTTTGTTATGCACGTCAACTGAGGGAAGATCGACGGGGTCAATTCCAGGAACGACGACGTTGTGGGATGCCGGTGGCATGAGAGGAACTTTCAAGCTGTTGTCCGCCTTGGGAAGTTTTGCTCCGATTGAATTTCTCTGCTGCTTTGGTCTTCGCCTAAAAATATATTTGATTTCTGCGTTAAAGTCTGCTGGGTAAAAATCCACTGCGTTTACTCCTGCCGCCAGCAACAGTAACGTGATCCGAAAATTCGGAACACTGCATTGGCAATGCAGTTTTGGATCAAAAACGTGATCAGACGGAAAGGTTACATGAGGAAGTGCGATGACAAAAACCGACATTAAAATAGTTTTCCCACAAAAGAAATGCCACGGTTTATGCACCAAAGCGGCAACTCCTAAAAAATGCGAAACACAACTGATTGAAGTGCAATGTCTAACCACAAAGTGAAAATTTGGCGTTACACTGAAAACGGAAACGCATTCTTGAGAGGCCACCAACTACCTGACTTCAGATGTAGACTTTGTTGAAGACGCCTTGGCTGTCATTGAGTAAAACAAATATATCACGTCAGCCAAAGAATCAACAAATCACGCAATCCACCGTAACTGGCGCTCGAAAAAATCTTTTTTTGTGATTAAAATGCAATCCGAAGATGTGTTTTGATTGTTAAAATAAAACACATATCTCCACAAACACTTTTAAACTCAAAATACTTCATCTAGTGCCTTAAATAGATTAGAGTTTTCGTTCTTTCGCTGTCTACAACGTTACGAGCATTGTTACAGTTATATCTTGTCAAAAATTGACCAATGAAAAACGAGGAATTGTCAATCCATGTTTTGCCAAACGACAAGTTCTGAGGTGGGATCTTAACATGCAACCACGATTAGATCATGCCAGAAGACAGCCCTCCTAGGACTATATTGCTTAAGTTTCCATTCTATCCCTTCCTATTGGCCAGTTTACTTTCGGATGTGCAGTTCACTAGAACCACTAGTGAAGGTGCTTACTTGCGACAGTAAAAAGCCCTCTGTTAGTGTTGTTTACCGGAAACCAAAAAACGCGGAAGAACAGTTTGAGTTTTTGCAATTAAATGATGAAGTGCCGGTTCGTTAAGAGGACGGAATCAGGCATAGTTACTCAATTGTTGTCTATCTAAATTAACAGCTGCCGTTCGACTTATCCATGCTTTCTGCGTTCCAAGAAAATCACACGCATCCCAGTTCTCGTGTAAGTCCAAATTACAAATGTATGCAATACTTTTTTCCCTTGAACTAACACATCAAGCATTGTTCTGTGACGAATGGAGTAATTGGGTCGTGTTTGCTTTTTTATCAAGAAATTACAACGAAACGCCACCTTACATCTCCAGAGTGAAAATTCTTGGAAACATGAACTGCAAACGAAAGTGCAGTCAATCGGTTTTTTTTCGGAAGTAGGCTGTAACGGAAGCAATTTCTCCAACACTTGTCAGTTTACCAGTAATTCTCGTTGCCAGTGCCTAACCAAAATTGGTTTATTACAACAACTTTCAGAAAATCCGGGTGCATTTCAAACAGAATGGGCATCAGAATTGACACAACGTGCTAAATTTTGTTGATGCTGCAGTACAAGACCGCATTGAATCCTTGATTTCAGTTAGAACAATTAACCGCAGCTGGTGCACAGAAATTAAGCTCATTTTGAAATTATTTTTGTAAAGATCAATCACCTTTGTTTCGTAAAATGTGCCACCATTGTTTAAACAGCTCGTAGAAGAGCTATACCACTTAAATGTGGAATTGAAATCCACATGGTGAATGACCTGAGCACTAGTAACACTCGGCCTCATTTCTGCGCATACCTAAAGAAGCACTGCACCGCGATGCAAATAACAGCAACCAAGCCTAGACCGATGATGACGGTGACGAGGATGATGGTGAAGAAGGAGGGACTGGCGCGGAGGTTCGGTCCGTTGACCCCGGGGTCGCCAACACCGATGGCCTCCGACAGGTCGTTTCCATTGGCTACGATGAGGTTCTTGTCCGGCGTGAAGGTCAGCGACCACGGACTGGCGGAGCAGTAGTTCAGACTGATGCTGTCCTCATCCTCGTTGCCAACATTCAAGGAGGTCTTGGTTTCGGCCGAATTGCCATTGAAGTAACCATGTTGTGAGCGCTTATTCAACGGCACCAAATACTGCACATCCGGATAAATGCAAGCCAAAAGCAGGGCCTTAACAAAAACGGAGATTAAAATCAAATCTCAGAGCTACGCGATAACCAATGGCACTTGTTAATCTAGCTTCAGTTATCTGATTAGAGTAGATTCTGCCAAGGTAGTCACGTGTTGTGGAAGTGTAATTAATTATTTTAAAAGAGCGCTCTAATTAGCATGTCCTAAAGGTGGATTTTTCCCGCATTCTAGCTTCACTGACGGAGATCCGTGTTGACAAGAAACCTGGAACCTTTTTGCTTCAACTGTGGCGTCAAGAACGGGTGGCTGGACACTTCATTCCATTCCCGGTTTTTTTGATGATGACTATTTAAATGATTGACTTGAAAACGGCTCTAAGAGTTACTTGGTGAAAAAAATCAACAGCCAGAATTTAAACAAGCGCTACCAAACTGAACAGTGGATTTAAACAAAACTCAACCCACCCTGTAAAGCCGTCCTTTAGTCAGACGGCAGTCGTAGAGAAGGATTTCTGAGTTTGGCCGACCGGTGTCACTCGGAGCATTCTTGAGCATGAGTGCAGGATCGTTGGGGATCCTGAGAGAAGACGTCGCGTCACCTGATCGACGACGTCGACGAATCTGCCTCAAGCCGCTCCGTCCACCCACCTGTATTTCCAACTGTGACGTCTCGAAGGCAAGTTGGGTGAATTCTGCAGCGAGTCGTGTTTCACCGTCTTGATTCGGTGACACACGAAGAATCTACCAAAAAGACGGCTTTTAGGAATGTCAGAAACAATTTGATTGGCCAAAACCATCAGGCGCATTCTGATTGGCTACGTGTATCGATTAAGTACATATTTTTTTGATTATCGCGAATAGTCAGGAGATTTGTTATCCCAAAATTATTTTTCCAATTAGCATCACAAAAAAAACATTAAAAATATACTTGATCCAAACAAGTCACTCGGCATAGCCCTGATCACTAAATTGACCAGACGCATTTTGATTGGCTGCACATATATTGATTAAAGTCGACGTCCTTCAGAGACTAACCTCTGCATGCCAATCAAAGTTGTCGGTAGCAGTGATTGCACGAGCGCGTTCAGGACTGCTAACGATGAGGTAGTACCGTCGAATGGGTCCAAGATTTTCGCTGACTCTCAGCAAACGCATCACCACCTCGTTGGCATCAGCCCTGAAGGCCACGGGCACAGGTGCGGTTATGTTTGTCGGAGCTGGAAGCAAAGTAGTCAGGCATAAAGTTAAATCAATGTCAACGCAATCAAAGTGAGATAATCTGCCATCTCTATAGCTCCACGGCACTGAATTTACGTCTAACTATTCCTCACCGATTACCTGATTGTAAAAGTAGTGTACTTAATTAATTGCATTTTCTTGTCCTTTCCAATGTCAAAAAAAAACAAATTCCAACAGAACATATTTGCACAAATAGATGAATCCAATGACGTTTGCTTGATGCTGCATTTAACCAATTAAATTGCATCCTCGACAATGTCATTACAACAAATCAATAGCCAGCAGATTCATTGTTTGAAATGGAGATGTAAAAAGAGTAATTTTATCGTTCTCTAACATGACGTAAAAGGACTAAATTGCTAAAAAAAAGGGTAAAAACAAAAGATAGGGGAGAATATTGGCAGTGATTTGATTGGTTGGGTTGCCTGTGATGAAATAAGCAAATTTCTCTCACATACCGAAACACTCGGACAAATTTGGCGCCCCCAACTTGACACAAATTAAGCAAAAAGTGATGACGAGATGACCGATAGATGAATATCAGTGAGGAAAAATAACGCCATCGCATAAATCATCTTGGCGCTGCACAGCAACGCTTTTATAAATAACTCCACGACTACATGATGAATTGGCCAAAGAAGAACCTGTTTTCGTTCTGTAAATTGCACAAGGATGGAACCTAACGCTGCCTAATGACGATTTCTTCATTCAAACGAATGTTTACGTCCTTGGCAAGTAAATTTTCTTTATGAAAGAACGTTAAACGTTCTTAGACGTTTCCGGCTTCAAGCGTACCTTAAACCACATCGTGGTGGAATTTCCAGCAGTCAACTCACGTTAGATTTGACGAAACTGTTTCCAAGTTTGTCAAAGTAATGTCGTGGTAAGGCGCTAATGCTTCAGCTGGAACACAAGCGACCACCTTGTAGGTACAAGATAAAACACTACCACAGAACAGCGTGTAATTTTCTTGTCAATGTAACAACTTGCAAGGTCTTTTTTTTCGCAAAGGGACAAATCACATCCACACTCTGCCTCTAGTTTGACAAGACGAAAAAGAGAGGATAACATCGCTGAAATATCATTTCCATAAACTAACTAAAATGCTCTAACTCCGGTCCGCAGCTACAAGCTACTTTTCCGTGTGTTTATCCGGAGTAAAACTGCCTTGGACCACCCTAGAGCGCTAATGTGATTTCCGAACCTTCAAACAGCCGCTTCTATTTCATTAGCTAACTTACTTAACAGAGACTGTTTTGTAAGTTAATTAACCTATCCAGGCGTTCACTGATAGCAGCATTTCGCTACCCTGCTCCAAATCAAAATGTATGTATAACTGTGAGAGGTTAAAACAGAACGGCAAGAAGCAAGTACACGTTTTGCAGACAAAATTAGCCACAATAAAACACGCGTTGGAATGAAAGCGCTCAGGCGGTGTCACAAGCCTAATTACAGGTCACAAGGAAAGTAACGACGGGGCATATTTGAGTTATAAAAGCTACGTAACTGCCCTTGTTACATGGCGGGGTGCAGATCTTGCTAAAACCCCACAATCGACAGGGCCGGGAACAACGCTAGCCTGAATTCTTGTCTCCACTAATCACTTATCTACGCTACAGCAGGCTTTTTTTGCGGAAAAAAGAAAGACAAGTAAGCCGAACAAGCACAGTCATTCTTGGTCACGTACGTTGCATTCCGGTTCGACAACTTGTTTGTTCCCAGAACGACTCAACTTCGTCGATTTGACGACCCGCAGGGGTCTCGTAGACTGGCCTCACCTCGACGTCAATGACGGCGTTCGGTTCGAGTTTATCGATCGTGTGAACCAGCAGGGTGTCGGAGTCCACGGGCAGGAAGTCGTTCCTGAGCGCCACGTCGCCTGAATGCCCAGTCGACGATCGCGTTGGAGTGACGATCAGCTTGCGTGGTCCAAGAGTGAGTCTTACTGGGTCGTTGAGTTCATTGATGTAGGACTTAACCCCGCTGACACGAATCTTTTGGAAGAAATTAGGAAATATTCCCACTGAGTTATGTTTTACGTTGGCACTACAGCCTCAATAATCGTCAAAATAGAAATTTGTTTTTTTTTCAAAAGCTATTTTCAAAACAAAATTATTGCTGAAGTGAAGTCGCAAAATGGTCAACGTCAGGTGTTTTTCATGCGTCTACTCCCGTCAAAATAGAAATGCTTTCTGCCGGGTTGAAGAATTAAAATGCATTGACAATTGCTTGGTTAAGAAAGGGATATACTAGTGGTGGTGGTGGTGGTGGTGGTGATGGTGGTGGTGGTGGTGGTAAAGAAAACCTTTTTATAACAACAATGACCTCAATTTGCGTCAAGTTTACTAATGCACATCCACCCACTGCATTTTTGGTCATAGCAATGACAGTAACCACAGAAGCTGTTAGTTTTAATCCATGACAGGTGAGATTTGGATTTGGTCGCGCTAAGAGGAGACCGTGTGTGAAAAATTCTGAGTTAACAGAACAAATTTTCTTAAATTCAGTATACCTTTTTGTTACCGCCAACTGCAAATCAATTTTTTATAAAATCGCAAAATATTCTTTTATCTCTGAGCTTTTTTATGGGTTCAAGTGTAAAATTTGGCTTCAACTCATGCTCATAAATTAGCGAAACCCACAACCGCGGAATTTATCATATTCAGACTCTGAATTCATAAAAGTGGCCTTGAGATAAAATTTCCCAAGCACTAAAACAAAATACTTTGGTTGACAACTTTAAGACTTGCAAAGAAAAAAAATAGTAGTCAAAAATCCAAGAAATTGCAGTTGGCAATTGGCTTAGGGGAGTAAAAAACTTGTCCCTCTCAAATGAACTCTCTGATAATTTTATTAAAGAACGCAATTTCTTTAATTAGCAATCTAATTTAAGGAGAATTCAATAAAAGAGGGTGTTCCTTTTAGTTGCTTGCCTTTTACAAGGCTGTACACATCAAGAACCAATAAGTATGAGGCATTCTTCATCGATTTACGACAATAAACATTTAATATCGATTTTTTTGTAAAATGTGACTAGATGAAGCAGCAGCGACTAAACCAATGGCTTGACGTGAAGAACCCTAGAAAGCTACAGCATTTCGCACCTCGTATTCCTTCAGCATTCGTCGGTCCAGCGGTGGAAGCCATGTGAGCCGAAGACTTGCGTCCATGAGATTCGTCTGATCGTCGGCTTTTAAGGCGAAACAGCGAAGGTCTTCCACCCGTCTGAGCTGGTATCCTCCGACTCTCTGATCCACGCCATATCGATTGGCACTAACGATGACTGGTTCGCTCCAATTTCCGAAGCGTTTGTCAGTTCCGCGTGACTGGATCTTGATGATGTAACTCTCCGTGGACGAGACGTCATCCAACGTCGCCATGGTGACAGCGCCGACTTCGAGGATGCGTTCACTGGACGGGTCGACGACGGTGTCGTGAGCGGCGTAGTAGATGCGGAAGCCAGTCACTGGGATCGGTCGCTGGTGGTAGTTTGTGCCGAGGCTGTGAATGGAACGACTTGACAGGCTCCAGGTAACCTTGATTTGGCGCTGGTTGATTCTTTCTGCTTTGATGTGCAACGGTGGATGTGGCACTACAGAACACACCCAAAATGCCAATGTTTTGCGAAACCAGTACCCAGCTAATCCAGTCTTTCTACTTCAATGACTCACCTTCAGCTGTCGTGCGAATTGTGTTGGATGCTGACCACGGTCCAGGCCCGGAACTTGTGAATGCTCTAACACGAAACGTGTACACAGTTCTTTCTTGAAGCCCGTCAATGCGCACCAATGGCTGCGTCGTGTTCAGATAGTTGGCGGTGTTCTGCGGCGAACTGAACTCGTAATAGTGAACCTTAAAATCCAAATTCACAGTAATTTACTACAACTACTACTCATTTTCGGATTGTATTATCAGTAGACTATACGGAAAGTTAACCTTAAACGAGGTACTTCAAATTTCAATTTGATACGCTCTACGGATAAATACGCGAGTCGAATTAGGCACGTGAATTTCTAAGAAAAACGTCGACTATTTGGGAATAGTGTTACAGTTGCCATGGTAGTGTCACAGGTGCTTAATGCAAATTCACAGAAGGCTCTATTAAAAAAAAACAAACCCTATTCAAAGATAACTTTAAGGTATTATTTCATTTCTAACTTTTTTTTAAAAAAAAATACACTTTTAACTGGAGACAATGAAACGGTACACAGGACAGCAAATGTTTCCATCTTATGTAAACAGCAATCGATGTAGTATCAGGGCGTTAATTGACGTTTACTCCTGTTGGCAAACGGAACTTCAAGTAGGGCAAAAAAGTAGCAAAGGCTGCCTAAATACCGTTTGAAAACACCGAATCATGTGACCATTTGATTGTCGTGAATCCTGTTTATTCAATCCCCTAATCCGGTCGCTCCACCTCCTACACAGGGCTCCCCTTTTCGCAGCATGTCGCCAGCCGCTTGAATCCTCAACTCCCCCTTCATTAACCCGAATATTTATCTTGGAGTGTCCCCACACCTAGGTCTCGATGTTAGCGCATGTATGACTCACACATCCGAGCTATAAATACACCCGCGCAAACACCACACACGACACAGCGACATCAGTTTCGGTTGAGCTCTGAAGTAAACGCTTGTGTCCACGTCCTCTCTGATCATTTCCTTCATCGCGGATATCAGGGAAACGTAATCGGGCCAGGGTTAATTCCGTTGTTCAAGACCACATGCTGGAGTCCACATGATATTTACTTAAATTGACATAAGTTTTCAAAACACTAATTTCAGGTCAGAAGTGTCTACCGCTGAAGACAATTTGTGTAGGTCAAACTTGCGATATCACGCTGGCCGTATATGTGCTAACTTATTACATAGGGACCACTTGACGCCTTGGCAAACTGTTGGTAGATTCTAAATTTACATTTGTGCATTTATGCCCTCCTGAGATGTTTTTAATTTCACTTCAGTAGTAAAATAGATTAAAATCCCTAGCAATATTTGCCAAATTTCGGAATTAGAGAATAGAGGTGAGCAGTCTCAATTAAAAAAATGATTAACAGGGCATTCCACTTGCCTGATAGGCTATAATTCGACCGTTTCTCGACTCTTTCGGTGGTGGTGACCAGGAGAGTTCGACGGAATTCGCTGAAAGACCTCGGACGCGTAGATGAAGTGGAAAACCTCCGGGAACTTGTGGAAAGAGAACTTTTTGTAGTAATTAAAGCAATTTGCGTCCAATTAATTGGACAGACGCAATCCATTGATTCAGGAAAAGCAAATCGTCTGTTGACGGCACAACATCATAAGCCTCAGCGGTGTTTGGTGTTTTAAGGTGAGTCTGAGTGCCTAACTTTCACAAGAAATGCAAAATTTACGATGAAATTTGCCATGTACTGTTAACTCCTGCATTTTGAAAAAAAGGTAACAGCATAGACGTATATACTCATTCTTCGTTGCCATGTCTACCCAATTAAAAATCTTTGTTTAAACAAACTGTTTTAATTGAATTTCGCGCAGTAACTTCTTTCGCTCCTTAATGGAGCGACGGTAGGCGGGATTGTAGGCAGGCCCCATTAACAATTAAACAAGCACGAAGCCTTAATAGAATTTGACACAACAATGCTGCAACCCGACGCTGCTAAATTTTGCCAAGTTTGTACCAATAATTTTTCACCAGTAATACACTGGTACTTCTTCATTTTTTGTCGAATACTCACACACGTCACCTTAAAGTGTCCTTTTTTGCTGAAAGAACCAACTGTGCCAACAGAAACCACGTAAAGCTGTAGGTTCCATGCATTTTTTAGAGCTTTACTGTGTGTACTCTTGAACTCACAAATGTAGAGAAAGTTGTTATTAGAGATGATTCTTTACCATGGTATTTGTTTAAATGTACTAATTCTTGATTACAACGTAGGCGGGCAACTTGGCTCTACAAGATAATTTGCTTAAGGCTGAATTTGATTTCTTTACTAATTGTAGAGACTAGAGGATTAATTATTTTGATTTTACCGGCAAATTTTATAAGCTGTTTTTGTCTTGTTTTAATAAAGAATTAGTAATTATAGTTTTAATCTCAATATGCATGTTAATTTAAGAGGTAGTTGCATAAAGGGCAGAGAAAGTGAATTGAATGTACTTATTGTGACTGCTAAGTAAACTATTGAAAAGAAGCTATCTTTTTGCTGCAGACAACAGCATCTTGCGAAGAAGAATTAGTGACCAATCACAAAACTGATAAATATTCCACCATTAACTGCTTTCTTGTACCAGTACAGTGAATGCATTTTGCACAATGATCAGGATATTCAACATAACCTCCAATGAAGTATTTGAACAAGGCGCGAATCCTTTTTTACAGAAAAAAACTTAAACAAAACTTGGTTTTGCACTCACCGTTCTCTGGGGTTGTGATGTTTAAATGCGCAGGAACACCAATGTCAATGTTGTTGTAGGCGGCAACTTCAAATTGGTATATTCTTCCAAATTCTAAAAACGATACCACACATTTCTCTTAAAATCACACCGAGTGGTTATTCCAAGTAGTTCCTAGTGATGTTGGATTCATTTTCACGCGAATTCCAGCAATGGTTAGTCTGCATTTTCGTAGAAGTAAACGAGTTGCATTGGTGTTTCGTCTGACCTTTAAGAAATCGACGATCCTTCGAGAAAAATACGTCCATGACTCAGCAGACGCATTTTATGTGGTGATTAAAATTCCAGCCAACCACATGACATTATATCAGTGCCTCATTACTGATCTCTGGAAAGGTCATTGTAGGAATCACATACCACGGGAGATAGTCATTCGTCGTGTAGTTTAGGCATCTTTGTTTCAAACCTTTTACATTTGAACCAAGAGGAGATTCAGCTAGTCTGGTAATTTAAACTGCCCGCGCCCAAAAACCGGCACGCAATTTCGAAGTCAAGTCGAGCGCTATTTCCTTCAGACAAATTCTTCCTTCAACCAAATGACTTGTCTAATGCCTAGACAAGTGGCGGAGGGTAGATTTTCTACTAGTGTTTTTGGCGATTAACATACATAAAGGTCAAGCCTGCACAGACGCAGACATCGTTTCGTCATTCTGAGGATTTAATTTGCCCCCATGATTCTCTGCTTTCAAAACCACGTAATCGTAGTGAATTTGTCTTGGTATCTGCTTTAGATCGCAGCAAAATCAAAGTCCGTTTTTGATAATCACAACAAAATGACTTGGGAATCCGAGTTTCATTCGAAACAACCAAATTGGCGGTCATTTTGTGTGTGTGGAAATACGAGGTTTGCTGCCACAATGAATCATCCACCAAAAGTGATTGCGCCAACGGATTTCCACAGGTCAAAATTACTCGGAAATAGCACAGTTGCAAGTGACGAACACGCACACACACGCGCTGTTCACATTTTGACAAATCGCTAAACTCCCAAGGTAGATTCGTGAACGGACTTTCCTGCTAAAGCAATATGCTGAATCGTGGGAACAGTTTCGTTTGCAGTCGCAAGCTCCTTCTCTAAATTGGCAAAATCCACAATTTAACAAAGACCGAAAGAGTCTGTGAAATGAAAGGATGGAAGAGGTTTGAAAGAGTTTAGCCGTACGTGTACAAAAGGCTCTTTGCAAACTACGCCTTGGCACAAAGCCACCACCCCATCTTGCAAAGTCAACTCGCCTTACGTCGATAATTACAGGCCATAAACATCTTCTACAGTGAGTCCCTAATTGTATTGCTCGTCTAATGTCCACTTTGTATTACCGAACGAGGCAAGAAAGTTTTTTTAATAAAACTTTGAGCCCACTTGTACAGTTAACAGTCATGAGCGACATTAGTCGGACGTGAATGTTTATAGCTGCTATCTAGAATGCCAATCGCTTTTTTGGATGACCACAACCTTACTTGATCAGTCCAGTGTGTAGCAAGGATTGTGGTTGTGATCTCAAATTTAAACCCGTGCTAAAGCCGATTAATTAGGCACTTTTTCTGAAATTCATCCTGGGATCAGTTATATTCGCATCGTTTACGTTGGTTGCGCCAAATTTAATTAACTTTCATTGCATCCTCCGACGCCCGCAAGATAAAAGAAATTGGCCGCATTTTTTTGCCGTTTTCATTCGGTAAATTAGCGGGGAATGACGAGATTCTTAGGAAGTGCGTTGTGTGCGCGGTGTCTAATTGCATAGGATGGAACGGTCTTATTGGTGTATGGGAGGTCACGGCGTTGGTGCAGGGCAATTTTTGCCGGAATTAGCACTTTAAAAGTGTAAAAAGGCGGCATCGTAGGTAGTAGAAAACCGTCGGGATTGCTGCTTTCATTATCCTTTACGGTGGCATAGCGCGATTTTATTGTCTGTTCACGGAATGACCTTGAATGTCTGCCTTCATCGCGGGATAATAAACTCGACTTACGACATCACTTTCGTGTGTCTAACATCTACGCGCCGACAAGCCCAATTTACGCTTCCAAAGGCAGTTTAATCACCATGCACAGCAACGAAACAGCTGCCACTGTCAGCAGGTCGCAACGATTACTGCCCCAAACCCACTGTGGCTGGTGTTAAACTAGCAAAACAAAACACCAAACACGAACAAAGCAGCGGAACTGCTTCGAGTAGTACTTTGTTTCTTAAAAATCCGATGGCAAATCTTTATAGTGTGGAATCACGTGGATTATTTGGCAATATTTTGAGACGGTATGATTGTTAGTTATTAAATTACAAGGGGTAGTTGATTTAGAAGACTGTTTACCATGAAAACGATTTGCAGGACTCACGTATATTGTCAATCTGCGTCGACGTATATGACGTCCCAGTGACATTTCGACGAACAGCGTGCGTTGGAATAACCTGTCCACTGCCGTCCAGCATTTTGCCAGCGTCACCTTCCACGGTTTTGGCTGTCATCAGGAGATCTGGCGGTCCAACGAGCCGGAACGAGACCTGGTACCCTTTCAGTTCCCCGAAAGTCTCCTCTGGCGGCTTCCATTGCAGTTTCAGGACAATGTAATCCACCGGCATCCCACCACCGGTGACAGCCGTCTCGCGTCGGAACGTGTCCAGCGTAAGGTCCTGTGGAGGTGTTGGGACTGAAAAACAAAACCCAGGATCCTCGTGACACGGATTGGCGCTGAGTTCAAAAAAGTGGTGACTCTGGGCATCAGTATCGACTGATTGGGCGCGCCTTGACAAGAGAATGAGTGTGCAGGCTAGTAGAGCAAGCATTTGAAGGCTAGGCTTTTAGCCACATGTGGACTATGGCGTTTTTAAACACCGCAAAAGAACACCAAAAGATGCAGACAAGTTGGGAGTGCTCGTGACAAGGAGAAGGAGATGGAGGAAGAGGTATGGGTGTGTGGTGGGCACGTTCGGCACGCGTGCGCACATGCGGCGATTGTACGACAGCCAACCAGATCATCGGACCAATCAAATTTCGAAAAGCTGTTTCGTCATCGCTCGCGTGCAGGCGTCAGTTTCGCGCAAGATCATCATCGCCCAAGTACAGTGTGCCAGTCAAAGAAACTTTCCTAGAAAGTCGTCAGATGCGTTTTTTTTCTTCGAGGTTTTTAAATTTCCCTCGAAAAGTTGCGATGAAAAACCGAGAGTTGATTGGCTTACTGACATTTCTTCAAAAAATTCTTTTGGTGACAAGCAAACAATTAGCATTTCTGAAATAGTATGATTTTTAGTTTCCAATATTTCACAAATAAAGCTCTAAAGTAAACTTAACTTCAATTTTAGTGGGCTTAGGTAGAATTTTTTGACTGAGTAATAGAATGAGGTGTTCAAACCTATAAAGAATTCAGTTATTTCACGGCTACAAATAACCCACCAAATTACACTTGACTTTTGAATAAAGCAAATAAATTTTTTGAAGGATTTAAAGCTGAATTTTATTCGAAACCAAACATTAAAAGCACGCGATAAATCCTTCTTTTAATTTAACCAATACTGAGAGCCCGGAGTTTCAATTGGTCGAAAACCCACCAATCACAGTGCAGTAATCAACTCACTGTAGCACGTTCCGTGAGTTTTACCGATAAATCTATTTACGCAGATACGCTAAACTCATTATTTCCTAAATCAACCCACTTACTTCGTGCCGAATCGAAATTAGCAAGATTCTGCTAACGAAGAATTACGAAATAGACTGTAACAAACATAATATTTTGCTACATAGTACGCCTTGCAAAAGTATTTATTATTTACGTTTGATTGCTTTGACCAATAAATCCCAGAATGCTAGCGGACAGTTGAATAAAAAATTGGAGACTTAGCAAAGGGCGCTGCATTTCTACTGACTGTTTTTGAGTAGAGACAAACGTTTCGGATATCTGGCACGCAATGCACGCAATCGAATAACCAAAATATTTTAAATTTCGCTTGTGGCTGCACGCGGTCACAATCTGGTTGAATGTTACAACAACGCTTTTTGGCGCAAGGAAACAGGACAGATTTTCCTCTTAGTAGGTGCACATGCAAGCTGGAATTGCACGTAAATAATTGATAACAGGTGTTGTGGGCATCTTGCCCTGCGCTAGCGGAGTTTATGCAACGCCGTTTTGTTCAGCAGCAACACCACGTCTCGTTCTGCTTCCACGGCTGAGTGACTAAGTGGAGAGTTCGTGGTGAGGAATTGAGTGGTATCACACGACGCGTGCAAGAATACCGCCTTTTTCGGCAGGAGGGAGTATGGAAAAACGAGAAGTAAACCAGGAATGAGGAACGCTGGAAAGAATTCTTATACGCCTTTTTCTCTACCCGTGAAGAGGCAAAATGCGGGAATATGTGTGTTTGTGGGCTTGCGAGGATGGAGGTAATGCAAGTAAGCCTACGCAGTGCCCTCATTCTTAATTGAGCGAACGATTATCTTAATTGATTTTTGTATGAGCATCAAGGCATCGGTTGAAGAACAAACGCTATTAACCGGAAATATCATGTTGTTTTACTGCGCTAGCGCGCCAACTTGGCGGTAACTTGAATTTTGATCATGCCAGCGGCAGCTTTTTGTTTGAAACAGCGACACTCGGGATTGAGAAAAATATACTGTTTTTTTAAAAAAACAACCATTGTTGGAAGTAGCGTGAATTGGCTGACGCGAAATTCAGGTGTTAGTACAGACAGACTTACTGTGTTAAATAATGCAACTAATTACTTCACGGTACACTAAATCAAGTTAAGTGTAGCCACAGTTTACGGTCTATAAAATTCAAGAAGGTCTGGCGTAAGCGTAAATTTTAAATTGTCTGAAATGCAAACACATTGCAGTGCCTGGATATCAGAAGATTCAAAGTCAACAGACTACCACGATTTGTCGACTTGTGTGGTTATCGAGGTTGTGGAGGTTCCACGGAAGGATTTGCCATAGTCCGCAATTTCAACTCCCGTTTCACCGTTTTCCCATCGTCTGGTCCTTACTGCCTATGGGTGCATCTGTACTTTAATTAATTTGAGCCATCTAATAAATATTTGCGTCTACGGCATCTTTGGTCTTCTTGATATTTCTGCGCATCAATGAGTCCTAATCTAGCTTCCCTCAATACATTACTTTCCAGCTCACAGATACACAAATCGTGCTTTCTCTTAATGACTTACGATTGCTTAGCGTGCGGATTTCCAGTCTCGCAGGCACGCCAGTCCCGTGTTTAGTTCTCGCAGACAACGAAACCTGGTACATGGTGTCGGGCTGCAGAGATTTGAGGATCCAACCTGTGTGATTTGGTGGAACGGTGATTGCCAGGGGGATCTGCGGAGCTGCCTCGTTGACCGCGGCCTCACTTGCAGGTCGACATTGAAGTTGGTAGTCGAGGATGGCCATGTCGTGCGACATCTCCGGAGGTGACCAGATCAATTGGATCGCCGTGGGTGTTGGGCTGACTCCACGAAAGTTGGACGGTTGTGGTGGAACTAGAGCAACGATCAACAGCGTCAAAGGCGAAAGCATTGGCGCACGAAAATGTTGTAGGGAAGAAAGTGTAAAGTCGCAACTTGGACAAAGACGGGATGGTGCGTCTCGATGTTGACCGAGTGTTTTCCAAATTTCTGATTTTCTATCCTGAATTCATGGTTGTCACCTCTAAGACCCATGACAGCCAATGAAACTTACTGAAACTGGTTTATTCATTTTGACAAATCTATTCTGGATTTAGAGGTTCAAAGAGATACCAAAATAACGCAACACAATTGTACGATTTTGTTTCGTTTGTTTGAAATCTGACACTTCGTACAAAATGCAGAGATACCGAGGGCTTTAAGATTGCTTCTGGTGACGGCAAACTAGGTTAAGATGTTGGTTTATGTATCTTGCGTGGTAGAGGGTTGATTTTGAGTAACTTTTAGTCACACTAGAAGAAACCCTAGCAAGTACGCAGCGATCAACTTGCCAAACTAACCATTGGGAGGACGTTGGAGGTTTATTTGCCTGATCCAGGAGATTGCAATTACGCTTCCGCACTGCTGTTAACGTGGACATAATGCCAGGTCGTTATCGATGCCATCAGGCAGCCCAGTATGACAATAACAATAATTCGTTCTTTCTGAGTTAAGCCTTTTTATTTTCTACTCAAGGTACTTTCACAGTGTGTGGTGATTCGGTCACGCACAAGTCCGTACTTCAAGTGGCAAGATCGAAAAAATTCATATTTTTTCTGGAATTTAAGCAAAGTATCAATCACCTGTCTAACCCAGTGAGAAAGTAAACAAAAAACGAAGAAATTTGCCATTCAAAGGTCTTCGAGTTTGAAAAGAATCGACAAAAAGTAACCCCCTGTTTATGCCCTACAGCTCATGCTTTAATGGGTTAAGAATTGTGCGCGAATTTCAAATTTGAACTCTGCTGATGATTAAGACAGTAGTTAGACCGCGTTTCTCCTTTGAGTAGACATCGGAGCGAATTTGCACTCTCAAAAAATAAATTGTATATTTTTCTTCGTTCCTGTTAATCAAATGCTGCTAAAGTTTTACCATTTTGACAACGTGATTACGAGCGCTCTAAGGGCGTATTTCAGAACACTGGTAGTGCACATTACAGAGATGTGTCAACTGAAATAACGCATTAAGATGTGACAGTTAAATTAGGTTACCAATGCGTTTCACGTGGACACTCACTAGTCCAGTTACATTAACGATATTTCGTTTGCTCTAAAGAAATCAATTTTAAACACTTAAGTGCTTAAGCGAAAAAAAGTGGTGGCAGGAATCAACTCGTAACAAGCCAATTCATTTAAAATCATTGGTCTAAAATTAGTTTTGAGTGAAAAACCATTGGAACACTTTTAAAAAACGGCGATTTTTTTGGTTTTCTTCGTGCCTCTTGCTTTGAAGAGAAGTTACAAATTCCCGAATAAACATATTTAATTTTGCTTATTAAAACAGCATTTGAGTTGCAAAAATTTCATTTGGGTAACGCCCTATTACTGTACATGCAATGTGTCAAAAATGTGGATGTAGGCAATTTCGAAAAATGATATTTTGCTTATTAAATCATGAGTCCTCTTTCCTGGAAATCTAACTGAATGCAATTCTTGAAGATACGAAATCACTTTTCGCCTAATCAACCTCGATTACTATCCATGTTTTCATCTACAAGGCAAACATGGATGGATTGACTAATCTTGCATTATCTTGTTGTGAATAGCCAATAAAGACGATTGGTGGTGATTGGTGCTTATGACTGATCCCAGCCATTCATTGGTCACTCGTCGTACGCACAAGCCCACGAGTGCACAATGCCCCAATTTTTATTGATTATTGATCAACCACTGCGGCAAACAGCTAGACTGTGTGAGAACTAAAATCTAGTGTCTGCTGAGGATGCAAAATCCGTTACCAAACTAGCTATGTAGCAGCCAATTTTTAATTGTCACTTTCATGATAGACTTTTGGCTTTAGTTTAAAAAACACGCTATTAGCAAAAAAGAACGCTCAGGCAAATTGTCGTGCTTCTTCAGAACAAGTGGGCTTTCTACGCGGAAAACCTCGACTTTTTTTCAAATAAACTCAACTTTTTAAGTCTTGTTGCAATGTTGCCGTCTTCAACGGCAGCAGGCTGTGGACGCAAAAGACTAGCCACCGTTGCACTTGGTGTCCCTAGGTATTTACCCAAGTGCCCCAATAAAATCGATTTAGTTTAAGCACTATGTTATTGGATTGGCCGTAGTTCGAGCGTGCAAGTGAAATGACATCTGCCACGCCTGATTTTCTGCGCGCTTTGTGAATTTAAAAGTGGCTTTTTACCGCCGTAGTAAGTGCGATCTAATTCTTTGTTAACTAACCCCCAGGATTAACGATGATGGGGTGGACGTCGCTCATTGGTCCGTCCCCAGCTGAATTGAAGGCGTTCACTCTGATGTAGTAGGTGGCCATTTTCACAAGGTCCTGCAGAACTGCGTGAGTTTTGGACGTCTGAAGCACCTGCCACTGCTCCAGTTGGGTGCGGAGGTGCGTCGAGTAGTATACCTTGTAGCCCTAAATTGAGCATTCAAAAACAGACAAGATCATGAAAATGTGGCCCTCCAATCACCAAACGTCTGGCGTCTGACTACCGTAGACACTAGTAATTAAGTAGCATGCGAATGTTCCTGCTCGTAAGCTGGAGAGAGCATGGGTGTGCTTGGTTAGGGAACTTGTCACCAAATAGTGATACGCCCTTTCTCCCTGAGGAGGTATGAAGTATATCAAAATGTTGCATTAAATATTTAAACAAAGCGTAGATGTATGAATGAGTGGACTATCAATGTGTACTCAGCACATCAAAGGCTGGCGGAAACAAATGTGGTTAGCAATAAATAATAATGATGATTCTGGTAGTGACATTATCAAAGGGGCGGAAATGTTACATCGGTTGTAAGACTGCGTTAGAAGTTCATCCGGTTAAGTGCCTGATGTTGCAATTTTGCAACACAAATCCCACCTCTGATTGGTGGATACATACACTAATTTAACGCAAACTTAAAAATCAGTAGACACATGCCATTGAATTGGGTGATTGTGACGTGAAGCATTTTAATTGGCTACTTTCAGAAATACTGATACCTAATTGGCTGACATGAATAAGGAAATATGGAAGAAGAAAGACAGTTAAAACCAAAAGTGTACGAACAGGTTCAAAGTTATCTGCAGCCGGCAGCCACACATTTTGCAAAATACCACCCACATCATAACTATTAGACCAAAGAAATTACGAATATTTTAAGTACAATGAAGCATTACCATGACAACCAGCGTAGCTATTGTTCTTTTCATAGCATGTGCATGTGCACACATAAAGCATGATGTAGACAATAGGTAAAACAAATTTCCATGTAAGTGTTCAATTTTGCATGATTTAAATTGTAAAAATGGCAAATGTCGTAGCAGGACATTTCAATATTCAAATCCTTAGTACGTCAAGTCACTCGAATTACCTCGCCTAGTAGGGAATTTGACCCAATTGCAGGTATTTAGTGACTACTGCAAGGCCGTTTACTGATTCTTCCAAAAAAATGAAAAAGATTTGGTGATGCTGAGCAGAAAACTTGGATTGTACGAAATAATTTAAGCATCCACTGGCCTCCTAGACAGTCACCAACAGGGCCAATTAGCATCTGATAAGAAAAGCGCCATTTCAGTCTCAGACTTGTGATGAGTCACCGAGTAAGCAACTCTTATTCCGCATCTGCTGATCGTAAATACAGTCACACAGAATTTTATTTCTTTTCTCTGCAAATCCATGCAACGTATTCTGTCACTCAGGTTAAGTTGGTGTGAATAAATTACGCGTGCATCAACTCTGTGACAATTTTGGAATCAACGGAAGTTGCGGTTGATGTTTTTAAAAACGCTATCAATTAAGGCGCTCCAAAGTGGATAAAATTGGCAGATTACGCGCTATTTAAAGTCAACTACACGTGGTCTGTTTGAGTCTAATTAACTTTCACCGGTAGGTTAACAACCGTCCAGATGTGCGAACCAATACGTTCACATTTTGTTTCGTCCATTTTCTCATAAGTCCATATTTACTTACCGTCCCGATAAAATTTTAAATTGTGCAGTGTATGGGCTATCTGTAGTGCGCTGCACCCACTCTGTTTTTGTCCAATTAAATTGCAACACGTCATAAATCCAGTATGTTAATCAATACGTTTTGTTTTGTTCACGCAGTACAAATATTTGCGTAACACAAGAGTTTACATTCATTTTTCAAATTGAAAATCCACAACCTTTAAGGCAAAGGTGTTTTTTTTACAAAATGCGGGGACCGACTCTGTTGCCGTAACTTGGTTTAAACAAAATTGCTTGTATGCCAAAAACTCAAACGGCCGTTATGCGGGATTAGTCGTTTTTTGCAGAATACGACATCTTCGCGACACATTGCTACATTTTGATGAACATGCCCCGAAAAATGAAACCAATTTAGCGTGGCGGGGATGCCAGGCATATATACATTTGCTGGCAAAAAACCTTTCCATAAAATGTAACGAATTGAGCTCACTTCCTACCGCAAAACATCTTCGTTTATATCAAACTTTTAACCCTTCTGAATGCAGTCGATATTTAAAAAACGTTGAACAAAAAGGAGAAACAGGTTCAAATTTTCCCCTGAGCACCGATTCTGGTGGACCATTGTGTTGTAGCAAGATTTCGACGTAAACTTCATGCAGAATCCTGCCTTGCTTGTGATCTAATGTGATTGCTTAGCACAGATCTGCAAATTCTGAGATCGATAATTGTAAAATGCCACCGGTAACCGCTCTTACATTTATTTTTCCATTTGGTTCCATGGGTGGTCTCCAACTGACGGTTATGGAGTCTCCAGACGTAGCCGTCGCGTGAATGGACAGAGGCGGACCTCCAGGCGCTACAAAAGACAAAATAATTCACTCCTCGCAACTGATTCAATCTCAATTTTTCCATAGAAAGAAGGTTTTACCACGAATTCTTTCGATACTATGGGAAAAACCACAACAAATAACGAGGACTACTTGAAGGAGCAATTATGGATAAAACAATGCATCAAATTCACGTGATTCAAGCGTTCTGAAGGCAATCTGGTTGCTAGCGTCGGAGATGCCGAATTTGGTGCTCAGGGCGTAGACTTCGGCGGTGTACCGATGGTCAGGTTTGAGATCGGTCACCTTCAGCTGAACCGACCCATCCGCTTGGATCTTCCACGGTGAAATATCGGTGAGTTTGCGTTTGACCGTCTGTCGTCCATCGAAGGCGTCAAGGTCGGTGACAATGAGGGTGTAGGAGGTGATGGGGACGGGGGAGACACGAGAGGGATCAGCGTGGGCCTCCCCGGCCGCACGACCGGGAAACCACCGAAGGTTTGCGTGCGTTGGTCCTCTGGCAATGCATTCGAGGTCAACAGGAGCACGTGGAACGTCTAATGCACCAAAAAAAATCAGATCACTCCATGACAAACCGACTTCTACGACCTCGCTTGAGTGCAGTCCAGTTCAACTGATCACATCTAGCAATAACAAAAAGAGGTGGCTTCTGGAATTTTCTTTCAATAAGTCGTTTTTTTCATGTGACACGACAGTCCACTTGGCGCGAATTAAAATCGCCACAAAAATCTGACTTCACGTTCCAAAAATGGCCTATAACATTAAGTACGTCATATTTTCCAATTAGGTGTTACTTTTTACGACGATGGACGATACCTCAGCAATAAATATTGTTATCTTTCCTGGCATAATTTGGATGCCAACCCAGAAATTTTTCCTCTCTAATGTGTTTTGTGTTTGGTTGCGTTAAAATGACCCTATTTCCTTTTTCCTGATTGGTTATACAAACTGTCGTAAAATGTTACGAAATTCAAGATTTGTAGCAATGGGAAAAGCACACGTTTAACAATTTTTAATTTTAAAAAAAACTTTTAAAGGCATTTTTTTCTCTATTTGCTGAAGTTTCCGTGAAATTTAGTGGGTATAAGATAGGCACCATATTTATTATAAGATTTATGCAAAAAATGATTTTCGTATCAGCAGGGGCATATTTATGACCACATATGTCAGCTTTAAGAAACAAACCCACCGACAATGTCAACTCTGACGGCATGCTGAACCTGTCCAAGATTGTTGTTGGCCACGCAGATGTAGACCCGGGGTTCCGTGACGTCAGTGAGGAACAGCATGGCTCTCCACTCGACAGCCTCGGTGAGTGGCTTCTCCTGATCTGTTAGCCACCTCACCTGGGCTTGAGGATTGCCACTGGCGGTACACGTGAGGTTCGCGCCCTTTCCCGGTCTAACTTCGACTCTCTCCTGCTGTTCAAGAATCGACGGTGGGTAGAAGGTATCTGCAGTGAGGATTGGACAAGCAGATTTTGAAAATTGTGGTGACCCACGTCTGCATTAGTGAATGTTCTTGAAAACGACACTTCTACAATGACCATCGTTCACACCGCTCCCCTAACCACGCCAGCAGGGGGTATGTCACCAGCGGCAACCTACTGACTACCCCACCAAGTCAAGATCGTTCTTGATCTATACAAATAGACACGATTCTACGGATCATCAGGTCTTGTCTTGGGAAGGTCGGGTGTAGCGTCATGCAAACGAAATACCGTGCATTTAACCTTCAGGACACGATTTCGAGGTGTCTTGGTTGGTAAGTGAAAAAATCCACACTTCCCAACCCCTGGCTGCCTCGTGCCTTGTCACTACATGACTACCACCTCCTGTCTTCCATTAGACACTAAATATTTCATCAAATTCACTAACTTCAGCCTTGTGGCAGTGAATTTAGCCAATTAGATGAGAATGCAGAACTTTCTTCAAATCACCGAAATTGACCATCACCAACGAATTGTACATTCAAGCCTTCCATTCTCTCCGATTGTTTCACAGGAAACACAATTTTGCCGACTAACCTTTCACAGCAAGGTGAGCCTTTGAGCTGATTATCGATCCGATTTTGGTTATGACGACGCATTCGTAGTAGGCGTCGTCGGATGTGTTGACATTTTCGAACGACAGTGGTTGCTGTGCTGTAACCGGAAAGATAGGCGAAGCAATTGATGAATGCTGAAGTGTCTCCACTAACACACACTTTAAAACATATGCGGAAAACATTTGCTCCATTCTTTGCAAGTTAATTCATGGATTACATCTAGGACACCTCATAAACTTTAAAGATTAGTGCTCGAAGTTATAGTTATGTCAATAGTTTTCCTACAAATATGGATATTTGACGGAGTTTTTTAGGTTCTTTGTCTGAAACAGAAGATTTCAAGAAAAACGAATGTAAATTCATAAAACAAAAATTTAAACGAATAGTTAACACCTGAGCATTACAAATGTCTCTGTCGTTTTCCACTGCCACCAGAAGAATTTAGTTCATGTACTCATTTATCAGCCACTGATTGGCCTATTACTGACCCAGCGTGACCTTGGGCCGACCAATAGAAAATGAACAGCTACACTTCAAACATGCGAATATCAGCACCTACCACCACTATCAGAAGATTCCAATATATGATTGTGTGTATAAAGACAGGTCTCTAGTGACCTTGGGCGGACCAATAGGGAGTGATCCGAATTGACTGAACACTTCAAATTTGAAATCGACAAGTGCCTACGCCCTTCACTACTACCACATAATTTTAAGTCATGCATTCTTCACAATCAAGGTCAAGTAGTTATCAGTTTAATTAAGATTTCCCAGTTTATTAGCATGGCTTGACCTTGAGCTGACCAATAGAAGATCCCTAGTGCCAGAACAGGAACAATGCAAGTATTCCCAACATTGGCAACTTCAAGCACTAACAAGGAACTTCAAATATTGCAATCATTTATAAAGGTAGAATAGTCGTCCTCTTAAACAAAATTTGCTATTTTAAACAAGCTGGCATGACCTTGAGCTGGCCAACAGAAGGTGGTCTTGAGTGACAGATTAGTTAACTTGAGCACTACGTTCCACCGCTACCAGACACTTCCAAGTTTTACCCAAAAGGACGGCTATCATACCTCGATAAATGAGTATATTTTATTGACTCCGGGTGACCTTGAACTGATTAATAGAAAATTGGCACAAGCCAAACAAAAAAGGAAAGGTAGATCAACATTAAATCAAAGGCAAAATGTAGCAAATGTAAATAAAATTAAAAACAAAGAACAGCAAGGACAATCCGTAGCAGATTTTCTGTTATTGGCTCGTTTAAAAAGTGGTCCGACGAAAACAATGCAGTAAAACAAGGAGTAAATCAAGACTAACATGTAGATGCCACAGCAAGTGGATTTCTCTTCGCACTAGCTGGTATTATACAACCGAGAAGAGAAGCAAAACGAACATCTAATGAGGATGGCGCCAATCTAATTAGCCAGGATTTACAACCGTAAGAAAAATAATGCTAATGGAAGTGGCTAAATCGTGTTGGGCCTGACAATTTGAAAACCAAAATTAATCACCAATTTGTGCCAATTGTCGTGGACTCTTTTGCCACTGCTATCATTAACAAGGCGTCCCAAGAGATGAAACCTGACACGCTGACAAAGTGGTCATGTACTTGTAGGGAGGATAGAGTTTATCGTGCGGATCCAATTTCAACTTCCAAGGGAGAGAGTATTCGTGGAAGGAAATCACACAGGTTCTGTTTAGCGGGGTTGTGGCTGCATTAGCTCTTATCTTTGTCCCAAATTTGCGCATTGGTCATTTGGGTGTGTGTGATTTCGTGGCTATTTTGCCATTTTCTGCCATCACACAAATAAGATCTTGTTTTTTTTCATTAGTGTTCGCTCGTGGCAAGCAAAACCATTGGTTGGTGTAATCGATTGCAAACTGTTTCACGTCAACTAAATCACACCACCAGGTAACTAATGCCACAGCTAGTAACGACGATGTATGAACACGGCTTACCATAAAAGGTACTGTTTTTAACTATGTGCTAAATAAAATTGTTATTTTCTGAATCTGCTTACCTGCTCTCACTCTATCTTTATTGTCGATCGCACCAGACTGATTAACTGCTGATTACTTTTAATGGGACTGTTTATCACAAATAACTCATATTTTCAGATGGTCTGGAAAATTTGCTTTGTTCTCTGTGCGTCCACAAGATGCTGATCGATTAAGCGGGTCTCCAAGTATTTTGAAAAAAAAACTAGGCATAATTTAATTAATACAAGGGGAGTGTTTACAGAAATTACAAAATATTTAACGATGAAGAAACAACGCGATTAGTTTGGGGCCCAGTAATGAATTTGGAAAGCGAAATCTGTATATTTTGCAGGAAAATGCCAAGAACCTAGCAAATATCCAAACGGGCATTAATTAGAGCAATGGGATTGGTCATCAGACGAGATTTCGTTGTGGATTAAATATCACCGCATTACTGTACGGTGGTATGTACACAGACAACGAACTCCATCTGCTGGACCAATCAGATGCTGGTGTCAGGGTTCGTTAATTTAGCATTCTTGTACCGGGTATGCAAGTGTTGCAATATTTATTAACTAATTATCGTGTACTCCTAGTGACCCGTTTTGCATACACGGCTATAAAGCAGCTTCACTGAAGCTACAATTTGCAAGTAACTTGTTAGCGTTGACAGGAACGCTGCGTGACTGACTTGGGCCACTGGAAGGCGTTAGCTTGACCCCTAAACTCACCCAGTTAAGATTAAAGAATCTGTTCCTTGTGTAACTGCATGTGAAAGTGACAATACACAAAGATTTATGCGACAGTCACACGAAATTCAAGTCGTTTTTATTTTTCGTGTGTTAAACTGGCGGAAACCATTTCGTTTACTCATCTCCTTGTTCATTGGCCAGGCAAATTAAACAGGTGTACTCTTGTACACTGCTGAATGAATGAAAAAAAAATCATTCGCGATTTGGTAATAATTGTTGAAAACGTTTAAGTGAATAGAAATCGGCAACAATATTGGCCGATTTTGATACACATCACCAACTACGACACAGTTTCTATACACGTAAACATGGAAACCACTTAAGTCCGTCATCTTTCAAATCTACCGCTGCTAAGGCAAATTTACCTCCTCCCGTCGTCTCCCTTCAATTTAGGCAAACACATGCGGTACTTTGATTGGTTAATTAAAACTTTTGAATGCGCGGTTAATTTTTAAATACGGGTAGCATTCCAACTCCATTAAAGCTTCGAAACTAGTTAACCTAGAAACGAATTTGCAAGTTTAAACAAACATTATGCACAATCTTGGGGGAAACAAACTAAAATCAATACCTTTTGCGGAAAATTCAATTTGATGGACTAACTAAAGAATCCACCAATCACGTGGGATTTAAATGCGCAGTCGATTGGGTTAATGGTAATGTTGGTAAGATGCACAAATTTAATTAAATCTTACCAGCCGTCAGACCGTTAACCTCACTCTTGATGTTGTACCTTGTGGAGTGCACCGTCGTGTCCAGTGGCACACCAACCACCGATGCCAAATCCTGATCTTGACTTACTACTGGTAATCCGTTTTTCAACCACAAAAATGTCAAATCCCCTTTTCCCTCAGCTGCACACTCTAACTGGACCGGCTTCCCGACGTCCGTGGAGTGGGATCTTGGGGTGTGAATAAACTTCGGGAATCCCACGGGCACATCTAAAACGCCAAAATACCCTCAATTACTTGTTGGATGATGTTATTTTGCGAAATGCTACTTAAAAGTTTATAAGTAAATGATAACTACACGCTAACTCACCATCAGTGTATTCGTAGACCTTCAAACTGGCCGAGGCTCTGTCATTGCCGACGTGATTGCTGGCTAAGCACTCGATTTTGATTCCACTCTGCTTGGCAGTGACCTTGAATAGTCGCAAGAAGCTCCCACCGTCTGGCGTGGGGGTTACCCTGCCCGTCTCCTTCGACAGACGGCCAGACTGGCCATCGATTAAAAACGTGACACTAGGTTGGGGGTTGCCCTCGACGCCGCAGTAGAACATGGCATCTTCGCCGTCCAGAACTGCAACGTCGCGTGGGGGTTGGATAATCCGGGCTTGACCTAGACAACACAAAATTGCCTCCCATGTAACTACCCTGGTTATTGATCGATGGCTCGAAGGTATGTACCGCAAATAGGTACACTTTTAAATCAATTTCATCGTCACCGTAATGGTCATTTACTTAAAATTCTTCTTGTACTTAAGACGCAAATAAGCGTTAGTCGACAGTCAACGAACCCAAGAAAAAATCAATATTTCCACGACAGAGTAAACAACCCTGGATTTGCTGGTGTGATATCGATCGATAGTTGAAACAAGCGCGCCTGGATTAATCATGGCTAATATTGTCATTTTGGTGTCCTTATCATCATCATCATCATCATCAACGTGGTCGACTTTTTAAGGCAATTTTTGTGATACAGGTGCGAATGCGAATTATACAAACGGCAACAAATATGGCAATTTCTTTTTGCCTTAATCTATGGGTTCAAAATTACTCCCCCCCCTCGATAATCACAGTGGTGCGTCAATTCGGTGTTTATCGCACTTCCTTACAACCCATTCTAACAAACAATCTTTTGCAACTTATCAACAAAAATCAACAATTCTCTTTCAGCAAATAAACCCGCATTTGCTTGCGTGGATGTCGACAGATATCAAGAATATTCGTGTCTAAATTTATCTTGTCCTATTTCGTACTTCAAATTCATTATCATCAACATCAGCATGGGCAATTATATATAAAGGCAAATTGACGAATAGTCAACGAAATTGTTGTTTTAATTCTTAGGTCCAAATAATATTTTTCCATCCACAGCAAAGACATTTTTAATGCAACAAGATTTTGCAGGCTAGAGACGAAACACTCAGTTGCGGGTTTTTGTAGACAAAAACACGAGTTTTGCCCTAATTTAATCATCGTGCGCCTGGTAAGCTGGTTTATGTGGAATTAATTAGTAAAGGTACTTTTTAATCCCGCTATCGCGGTGCACGCAAAAGTGGCTATGCGCTTGGCTTGCGATTTTATTAATTTCAAGCTAATTACCTATGTTTGACCTCAAGGGCCAATACAGCCACAAATGTCTTGAAAGTAGCGCCTCTGTTTGAGCATTGGGTGATTTAAACAAAAGATAACAACTTAAACGAAAAGCGCAATTATAAAAAATCACTTCCACATGTTTCAAATGGTAATTTATTTGACGAAACCAATTTAATTTCTGTGATTATCATCACAAAATTAATTATAAAAACCTCACATCATGGCCGACGACAGCCAATGGCGTTGTGCACTTTGAACTGCTCGCGATTTATGACAAATCGATATTGCAGTTAGTGCTACACGTACAAGAGAAACTGCCACAATTGGCAAATCACAAAGGGTTTACTGAAACCATTTGATTGGACGATTTTTTCGCATCCTACACAAAACTACACATTTACAAAATAACAGATTTAACTTCATTTATTGATATCCTTGCGAGAAGCATTATACCAATCGCAACTTTGTCCAGTCATAACCAAGATGGCGCTTTTTAAAATTGCCAGTTTAAATTATTTGTAGCACCCTAATTGCTAGTGAGAAGGCAAATGCCAGATATTTTGCTCTGCTTTTGGGGAAGAGTACGTTGTGAATTTTTAATTACATTTTCTCGTCTTTCGTACATCCGTAAAAAGTCATTTAACCAAAGTGAGTAACAATTTAAGATATACAAAACACTCAGGAATGTTTAACGCAACGTCACGTCAAGTGATTGTTTTAATCTGCATAAGGTTAACCTGTAAATTAGATATATTTTAAAATTAACCAATAGTCACTGTCCACCACATCGACTACAACTGGCTAATAAAATTCGATAAAACTGTTCTAATTTTAATTTTCGAATTGGATTTTGTGTACTAGAAAGTTAGATTTTGCTTTGGTTTATTTCTAAAAAAACGTGTGATTGTATCTTTTTCTTCTTCAATTGTAAATATCTGAAATTGAGATGTTTAAATGAACTGCGATTGGTGCAAAAAGATTGTCAACTTTTGATGTTGTAATTTTAACGTTTTTATGACAATTTTATCATTTCCAAGGTCATTTCAGGAATTTTAAACAAATAAATATATTTTTTTTAAATCATACCATTAGAATGGCACACGTAACTCTGGATATTTAATTCAAGTTGGTGCATTAAACTAACGTACAAATCCGTGATATTTGCCCCCTACCATTTAATGCATTTTCTAATTAACAGGACGATTGTTGATAAACAAATTCGTCGTTTTTTTGACTTTCTTGGGCCAAAAATTCGATGAGTTTAGCAACATTGCCACGATTTTGCTGTAATGCAAGAACAAAATTATTAAAACGTGACACCAACGCAAATAATAGGGTGATTTACACAACCGCCGTAATTTGTTTTAATGCACTGAACAAAAGAAGTCTTTTTTAAATATTACAATTAATTAGGTGTGAGCAATGCAACGATGATGAATTAATTCAGTTACCACTCCTGATTTCAAAGCTCATACGCTTTGTTTAAATGAAGTACTTTGTTGTAGACAAGCAAAAAAGAGTGTCGCGCCAGAATTACTTACTAGTGTTGTTCAAGTACGATTTAAGAACCTCCAAATTGAACCATTGGCAGTTAATCTCCACGGCTAGCATCCACAAGACAAATGATAGGTTGGCGGCGAAATTCAGTGGGACCATATCATTGCCGAATTTGGTTGCTGGACGTGTTCAGCTTGGAAAAAGTCGTCTAAGATGCTTATGCACAACATGGGAATTTGCAGATGACGTGGTTACTCAGGCCTTGTGAATTGCCCCAGCTTCCAGGTCATGTCACGGTAATCAACCCACCAATCAGATCGCTCCACCAATGAGAGCACAGCGAGATGCTTGGGTTGACTTATAAGAGAAAAAGGCTAAACCGTGAAGGAATTCACGCTTTGCTAGTAAGTGTAGTGCATTTGCGTTTTTATTTAAAACGGTTACTGAGTCAAGAAATTTGTCTGCTCATTTTTATACTACTGTTTTAATTTCTTGCATTCAATTGCGTTCGAACAGTCAGTGAT